CCCTGATAACTCAGTCCAAAGTGTTGGAGGCAATCAAACGGTGGTTAGCAGAATTCTGAGAAAGTGAGATTAATCACTACATCTTCATTGACAGCAGAACAGGTCTTTTACTTGCTCTGGTTTCTGCAGTTCTTCTGCTCATCTTTAACATTAACTACTCCAGTTCATTTCTTTATTTTTTAAAGGAAGTCTTATTAATTGGAAAAAAAAACCTCAGTCCACATTCAAGTCATAAACTATCAGTAGTGATTTACCTCTTTATCTAACCTTCTTAATTTTAAAAGAGAATTCTCTCTTTCATCTTTGGAGGCAAAAATTAAAGTTAAATCATACCTGAACAAATTTTTGAGTTTTGATCTCTAGTGATGCCTCAATTCATGATGCATGAAAGATTTCTTGGTAAACTAAATTATCCTTTCATCAAAAGAAAATCCTGTCTACAGAGCTGCACTTAAAGCATAGGATTAGTTACACGCTTTTTGTCAGCAGAGCAATACAGTCTTTTTAAAGCAATTACCATTATTGTAATGTCCTGCAGCTGACAGACAAAACCAAACCTTACTACCTGACTTAATTTGTTTGTCGCAGTTTTCAGCCACATCTACCTAAATAAATAAACAGTTAAATACCCTCTTCATTGCTGCTTTGATTAAACTTAGATCAACAGAAAGCCACTGTTTAAATGGACTTCTGAAGGCTAATTTTTGCCTTTGGAATTTAAGGGATTTCTCAGAAGCCTGTCAAAAAATATCATAGCTGGGCTTTGACTTCATCAAAGTGAGGCATCAACAACCTAGTAAACAGAAACAGCAGTGAGAGAGACACAGGAATCATAGAATCACAGTGTTGGAAGGAACCCCAAGGGTCATTGAGTCCAGCTCCTGTCCCTCTACAGGACAACCCGAAGAGTCACACCAGGTGCCTGAGAGCATTGTCCAAAGGTCTCCTGAGCTCTGTCAGGCTGGTGCTGTGACCACTGCCCTGGGGAGCCTGTTCAGTGCCCAACCACCCTCTGAGGGAAGAAACTTTTCCAATATCCAACCTAAACCTGCCCTGACACAACTTCAGGCCATTCCCTGGGCTCTGTCACTGTCACCACAGAGCAGAGATCAGTGCCTGCCCCTCCTGTTCCCCACACGATGAAGCTGTAACTGCAGTGAGGTCTCCCCTCAGTCTCCTCCAGGCTGAACAGACCCAGTGCCCTCAGCCCCTCCTCACACAGCTTCACCTCACTGCCCTCCTTTAGATGTTCTTTAGCAGTTTCATGTCTCTTTTGTACTGTGGCACCCAGAAGTGCCCCCAGCACTGGAGGTGAGGCCACCCCAGCCCAGAGCAGAGCGGGACAATCCCCTCCTTGCCCGGCTGGCCATGCTGGGCCTGATGTCCCCAGGACACGCTTGGCCCTCCTGGCTGCCAGGGCACTGCTGGCCCAGATTCAGCTTTCCATCCACCAGGACCCCCAGGCCCCTTTCCATGGTGCTGCTTTCCAGCCTCTCATTCCCCAGTCTGTCTGTACATCCAGGGTTGCCCCATCCCAGATGCAGAATCCAGCACCTTCCCTTGTTGAATTTCACATGGTTGGTGACTGCCCCGGCCTCTCATCTCTAGAGGTCTCCCTGCAGGGCCTCCCTGCCTTCGAGGGAGTCAACAGCTCCTCCCAGCTTTGTATCACCTGCAGATTTGCTCAGTGTCCCTTCCAGTGCTGTGTTCAAGTCCTTTATGAAGATAATGGGGAGCACAGGGCCGAGGATGGAGCCCTGTGGAGCCCCCTTAGTGACAGCTCACCACTCTGGTGTCACCCTGTTCCCTGTAACCCTTTGTGCCCCATCTGTGAGTCGGATGTTCACCCATCACATGGTGTGTTTTTCCAGCAGAGGTCTGGGCATCTTGTCCAGAAAGATTCTGTGAAAGACAGTATTGAAAGTTTTACTTAAATCCAAACAGATTACATGAACTGCCTTCCTTTGGTCAGCCGGCTGGGTTACTGTATCATAAAATGCTGGAATGGTTTGCCTGGGGAGGTGATGGAGTCACCATCCCTGGATGTGTTTAAAAAAAGATTGGATGTGGCACTCAGTACCATGGTTTAGTTGAGGTGTTAGGGCATAGGTTGAAGTCAATAATCTTGAAGGTCTCTTCCAGCCTGGTGATGCTATGTGATTCTGTGAAAAGGAAATGAAATTTGTTAAGCAGGACTTTCCCCTCACAAACATGTGCTGGCTGTGAGTCTGTGGTCCTCCAGGTGTCTTTCAAAAACTGATTATCACCATTAAATAATTCTGGACTCATCTTGGACTTTTGCATTGTGTTTGCAGGGCCAGGTTTTGGTAGCAAGTGTCTCCAGGGGTGGTTTCTCTAAGAAGCTGCTAGACATTTACTCCATGTCTGACACAGCCAGTGCCAGCCAGCTGCAAGACAGACCTGCTGTTGGCCAAGGCCAAGCCCACCAGTGGCAATGGTAGTGCCTGTGGGATACTGTAGGTGAGAAGGATGTGGGAGAAAATCTGTTGCACAGCAGCAGCTGGGAAAGAGGAGAGGAAATATGTGGAAGAACAACACTGCAAACACCAAGGTCGGTGCAGAAGGAGGGGGAGGAGATGCTCCAGGCACCACAACTGAGATTCCTCTGTAGCATATGGAGAAGATCATGGTGAAGCAGCTGTGGCCCTGCTGCCCATAAAACTCCAGAGCAGAGCAAATACCCACCTGCAGTCTGTGGAGGACCCCCTGCCAGAGCAGGTGGGTGCCTGAAGGAGACTGTGACCCATGTGAAACCCATGCTAGAGCAGGCTCATGGCAGGAATTGTGAACTCTTGGAGAGGAGCCCAATGCTGGAGCAGGTTTGCTGGCAGCACTGTCTGTTCCCAAAGGACTGCATCCTGTGGGAGGGATCCACTCTGGAGCAGTTTGTGAAGAGCTGCAGCCAGTGGGAAGAGCTTGCGTTGGAGCAGTTTGTAGAGGACTGTCTCCCGTGGGAGCAGACACTGGAGCAGGGGAAGAGTGGGAGGAATCCTCCCACTGAGGAGAAGGCAGCAGCAGAAACAACATGTGATGAATTTACTGCAGCCCCCATTCCGGTGCTGCTGCTGCAGGGGAGGAGGTAGAGAATTTGGGAGTGAAGTTGACCCTGGGAAGAAGGGAGAGGCTGGGGGATGTGTTTTATGATTTAAGATTTATTGCTCATTATCCTCCTCTGATTTGTTTGGTAGTGAATTCAGGTGATTCTCCCAGGTTGGGTCTGTTTTCCCTGTGACAGTAACTCGTGAATGATTTCTCCCTGTCCTTATTTTGACCTGTGAACCTTTTGGTGTATTTTCCCTCCCCTGTCCAGCTGAGCAAGCTGAAGTCAGTTCATCTTTTGAGGTTACATTTAGGTAAATTTTCAGAGAATTGATGCTCTCAGAGGCATGCAGTGGCACTTACACTGATTACTCTAGCACATTCTTCATACTTGTATCTAAGGAGAAGAATTTAAGGAATTTGGTTAGCAGGCTTTGTTCTTACAAATATTTTTGCCTGGAGACACCATCATTGTATTTGTGTATTCTATCATTTCAGTGTCGCTTGTGAACTCAGTTCAGTTAGATTTTTTTTTAAAACCTCAACTCATTACAAATTTTTTTTCTGCATTTTGGCAGTAGTAGAATTAGAACACAGTGTTTCGGGGCTCCTACGCAAAGGCAAAATCCCACTTGCAGTAGGTGCTGGTTTCAGGTCTTACTTTTCATTTCTGTTTTAAAATTGCAGGAGTTTTTAGATATATATATCCATAAATGCCTGTGTATATAACTATATATCCATATATCTTCTTTTCTGAAAACTTAATAGAAAACAGCAATTTTGTCTACTGAGGAGTACTCTAAGAATGTCTGTCTAATAGAAGGCCTGCAGAAGTAAAGGTACAGCCTACTTCTCAGTGGCAAGAATAGGAATGCTTTTAAAAGCGAGCTGTACTTAAACTTTAGTTCTTTTCAGTTCATAAATCAGCCCAATGAATATTAAGACACTAGGGTATTAAACCTAAAGAAGAATGTGGAAAATAGCAGTCCTTAAAAAAGAAATGCTTATGTGTTGTGTTATCTAGTGTGTGGCTTTATCATTTAAGCCTTCAAAATTGTTGTGAGCATGCCAGGTGTAACTATTTCACCAGGTTTTTTAAAATGTACAGGTTCTTTTGATAGTCACATCAAAGCATGAGGACTTTCTTGTTTTGCTACTTTTTAAAAGATGTGATCTTCAAGTGCAAACCTCATCAGGACATTGTGATATCAATAAAATGAGATGTATTCACAAACTTTTCTTGGAAATGCAGCAAAAGGAAATACTCAAGAACTTCTGCTAGTGATCTTTTTTCCTTTAACTGTTCACAGAGTAGATTAAATATATTTTTTTAATGTGTCAGCCAACAGCAGCAGGTTTCAGAGGAGATGATCTTGCACTCTGGGAGGACTGTTTATACTTTTTATTACCAGCCATATGTTGAGTTTTACCTAAGTTCGGTTTGTGACCTCTAGAGTGTACTTTCTCCTGCCTGTTAATTGTCACTTCTGTCCTTCAGCTGGTTACTTGTTCCACGTTGTCTTCAATACTTTTCCTGCAATCTGACAGTGTCTAGTTAAAAACATCCCAACCTTTTCTCTATTGCCTTAGAGGCCAAAGAAATATTTATATAAATGACTTAGACTTCAAAGTAAGAAACCACTGCTCACACAGATTTTTGAGTCAGTTTTGGAATTTTAAATAGAAAAGTATAAAAGAGTGGCAGAAAAGCCACAAGAAGTGCAAAGCATAAAATGGTGTGGTTTATTTCAAGTAAAGCTTTTCAAATCACTGCATGGTGCCAGATACTCAGCTCTTCAATACATGTCTGACTGTGGAGCTTGCCTTGTGCAAGTTAATCATTCACAGGACCTCCATATCTGCTTTTAGGAAAGAAATATGCAGTTCCATGTTCTGGGACAGGATCCCACACACACCTTTCTTAAATCTTGCTGGGAAAGATGAAGGAGGATCTTAATGTGAAGGCCAGAGCCTTCCTTTTACCCCCAGAAAGAGGTTCCCCAAAGCAGAACCTGTTGTCAAGCGCTTTTAGCTTGTTAGGAGATGATTGTGTGTTTCAAACTTCGGGATAGGACAGGAGGCTGATGAAGAGTGGGCTGAAAGGCTTTTCGGAATACGCTGCTTATTAACGGGAAAAGCTTTCACAAAGTGGAATGACCTGTGTTTAGCAGTAGCTGCATACATAATTATGCTGCCACTCAGATGCCTGAGGGGTTCATTTAATTACCGTTGATTCCTAGTCTCAAAGGAGCTGAGAGTTCAGCCTAAAGCTTGGAGTTATAGGTGTTGTGAGGGCTGTGCTCTATTTTCATTTTGACTAATGAATTCTTGGAAGCAAAACGTCTTTCTGAGACACTCAGGAGGAGTTCTGATGCTTTTGCAGGATATAACACTGACCTTAGCATTTTTTATGCTACTAGTTTAAACACAATATTCCAAAATACTTTATTTTAATAAATGTCCATATGCTAATGTGAAAAAAGTAAAACTCCAATAAAACCCTGCACAAAATCATGGAGTCAAAGTTAAATTTCTTGGTGTAATAATAGGGATAGCATTCCAAGGTTTCCTTACTCATTCTAGGACTAGGTATGTTAGGCCCAGAGGATGAAATTTTCAGAACTGCTTAAGGGATTTAGTAGCAGAAGTCCCTATTGATTTCCAATGAAATGTATGCTCTTGAAATTCTTTTGGCAATTACAAAATCCCAGCGTACTGTCCAAGCAGCATTGCGAACCAGCCCTGTGGGCAGCTAAAGTATTTCTCATCTCCCACTAGGACATCAAAGGGGCAGTTTCATCCTGGGTAAAATAGGATACTCAAGTGTGAATTTGTGAAATGGGCCCTTAAACAGGATCAAGTTCTAAAAAAAGTCCTGTATTTAGCCTCTGCTCATTATGGAGGTGCTTTTTGACGTTATGAAGAGATGTTGCTTACCAGAATTCAAAAAAACACATTTTTTATTCCAATGAGAGAAGAACTGGTCTTGCAGTTGAGTCAGTTCATTTTCCAGTTTTGTGAAGAATTTCCTGGATGATTTTGGGCACTTCATTTTGGACCAGATGCTATTACCTTGGGTCATATTGCATCATGCTGTACTTTGTGACTTCTTGTGGTATGAGCAGCATTAACAGCATCTGGACTTTAACATCCCCATTGCTCACACCCTGGAAATTCACTGCAAGGAGTTACAAAGTTTTCCTGTGGCAGCCGGAAGATTGTCATCATGCATCTCATCTTTCTGATTTCCTTTGTTCTTATTCCTGCCTTACTTTGTAAACCAGCATCCCGTAATTTTGTGTGCCCTAAGTGTGGTGCTTGGTGATGTTAATTTGCAGAGGTTAAGAACTGAGAAAGGGAGGTTCAGTTTTGCCCTGGAAATCCACATTTCAAAATGCAACTGACTTAAACTGGAACAAAAATCAAGTTTAGAAATGTCTGTGACAAAAAGCTGTTGCATGTTGACTAAGATTTAAACGTGTCTTACCCTGTAATGCCATAGAGGTATTTATAAATAAAAATGCTTTTCAGAATTATAAGTGGGTACATTTAATAATAAATATTGAAACAAGGCATTTAGTGTTTCCAGAACCTTCTTTTCATTGTCCTCACTAGAGGAAAAGTAACAGGATAATCACAGTTCAGCTCTGATTTGTTTGCATATTCCTTATGGAGTTTGGATCAGTTAAGATTGCTCGACTTCTCTAAGAAATGGGCAACACCTCTCAGGAAGGCTGATGACCTGTGCTATGGTGAGAGCACATTTGGTGAATGCAATAATCAAATATTAGCCTATCTGTTGAAACATAAAGCATGAAATATGTAATTTTTACTTGCACAGGAATTGATGTGTGATATTTTCACAGGACCCAAGAGCATAATAAGTACTTTACAGCTAAAAATGAAACAGATACACACTGGTCTCTAGGGCCACAGCTAAGTAATAATGCATCTGTAGGAGTCCTGAAACCAGTCTTGCATGTGACTTTCAGAGGACATTTTACATCCTCTGGCCAGGCACATAAGCCAAGAATAGTGCTCTTATTTACTTTTTGGATGTAGGTAGTACCACCACTGTTTCTGTTCCATCTTTATGGTTGTGTATTTTTTTATTCCATCAGTGGATCTCCTGAGTCTGTCTGCTGCATGTGATGCCTTGGATCAGCACAACCTCAAACAGAACGACCAGCCAATGGATATTCTGCAGATCATTAACTGCCTGACCACCATTTATGATCGACTGGAGCAAGAGCACAACAACCTGGTCAATGTTCCCCTTTGTGTGGACATGTGCCTCAACTGGCTTCTGAATGTCTATGACACGTATGTATGGGGGGCTCAGGACATGGGAAAGCTCCAGAAGCTTTCCCAGTAGCAGAAGGGGAGAGGGAGGATGTATTGAGCTGTTTGCCTCATTATGGCATGGGTGGCTTGGAGCTGAAAAAAGGGTGGTTGAAGAGAAAGTTTAATAAACCTAATGGTTTAATGACTGCATTTAGTTGAATCAATACGGCCCTTGGTTAGGCTTACAATCCTGGATTTATCAAGCTATTCAATGAGAGAGCTAGAAAACAACTTTTTAAGCAGATTTTTGTGTTCAGACCGATTCTCTGACTTCATGTCTGTCCACAGTAGGTCATGACTTTACATGGCTTTTTGATTTATTTTGATAAAGAAGTTCAAGAGAATTATCAAGCAACAGAATAAACACTGTATAAACCCTTGCCTGTCTATACCTCCAGATGTTAAACCTTTTCAAATATGTCAATTTTCTGTAACTTTAAATCTGTCATTCATTTTCAAAGATGGAAGAGGGTCATCTCTTGTCTTGTCTAATGTGCTTGCAGCCCTTAGCTGCAAGAAAATTTTAGAAATACTGAATTCAAAATTTAATTTTAAAAAATGTACCCATTGGTATAAACACAACAGACTAAATATACCTGAAGAAAATTATTTTGTTTATAAGGTATTTATCAGCCACTTTCAGGCAGACATACTCATTACTGTGGCAGAATAAACGTTCACCTATAGAATTGGAAGCTCATGGACAATTACTGTATTTCCAGTGACATTTTGAACAATGCTGTTGTTGTAGGGCCATAACATTGTTCTTCCATCCACCTTTTGTCATAGCAGTGAATATTCAGTGATCACATGGGAAAAATAAGTACAGATTTGTACAGATCATGTCTTCCTGAAGGATCACCTCCAATAAGTCAGTTTTTTGGAACATCCCCTGTAGCAGCTGCAGTATCTTGTGAAGTGGATTACCCAGATTACATTGTATTTCTTTTGGTTTACCAGGGAATGGGGCAATATTCATTCAAGAGCCAGGTTTTATTTGTTTAATCTGCTTTGGCTTTCACAGAACAGTGATTCACTTCTTAGTTACCATGAACCATAAATAACGTATAAAGACTCCCAGTTAGTGAAACAAAACATGTGCTGGGGATATTAATGTGTATCAGTCACATAAGAGGCAGATAGGGAACTAAAGGTCATTCCACAGGCTGCTTCTAAGCTGAACTGTCCAGTTTAGATGTGACATGTGCACTAGCCATGTCCAGTCTAGCTTTCTTTATGTTGCTCTGTGCTGCAAGTACAACATTAGAAATTATAATTATCTGCCTCCAGGCAGTTCCCTAGGTATGCTGGGGAGCTGCATATTGCAGGGCATAATGGAGCACAGAGGTGTTTTATGTGTGAGGAAAGCTTGTAGCTATTTTAGCAAAATTCAAGTTTGAATTACACTGGTAAGAGAGGTGACCTTAGGGTTACATGTGTTTAGTTTTCATTGTGAACTTACTAGACAGAGATCAACCAAAGTGCACAGCACTACTGGAGACATTTAATTAAATGTACTGCATCTTTACTTTTCTTATAATTGAAAACTGTCATTTGTAAAGATATTAATCAAATTCACAGTCAATGACTGATCTAATTATGGGTACAGCTCTGCAAATCCAGCACATTTTGGATTTGTTTTAATTGATCAGTCACTCATGCTCATTTGCAGTAGCATGCTAAATTATTGGTTTGACTTGGGAGGAGAGGAGAGTGAACTGAACAACTCATGATTCGTACAAGTTTCAATTTAATTGCCTGGCAGAGCAATCATTATTCTATATTCTTCTCTTGTATAATTTGCATGAGTCTGGTATTCATCAGGAGGAGTTTCTCAGGGCACAGATGATAATTAATTTGGAAAAAGATTTTAGAGAGAAGAGTAAGAGGACCAGAGTATGGAAAGCACAGGTAAACTACAAATGGTTATTCATAATGAAAAATGCAAGATTCTTTAATAAAAAGCTGCAAATTCTAAATTTGGTTTTGTCCATGGGTTTCAGTCTATACCTTTTACAGGATTTGCAGGGGAGATGTGTGGGTAAACGAGTACCGCTGGCTCCTCAGCTCTTACATAGGATTAAAAAGACCACATGCATCTTTACCTGTGGTGCAGCCTGATGCATGACCACAGCCTGCCTCTACTTGATTTATCTTATTCCCAGTGGGGGCCTTACTGGTGACGCTTCAAAGCTGTTGATAAAGCTCTGCTTCAAAAATGTTTGGTTTAGGCATTAGCTTCCTGTTTTGTATATGTCTTCGTTTGCAGTAGTGGTTACATATTTGAAATGCTATCAGAAACAATAGTCTGGGGGGGAAGCCAGCAACAGGAAGTAAATTGAATTAAAGCAGATGACTGAGAGAAGATGTGAAGGTTTGTCACTGCGTTGCCTGCAGCTCAGAGGAGGATGTTGTTCTCGCTGTCACATTAGAAAGCAAAAGTAGCGTGGGCGTGTTACAAGGCAGGAGTGAGGGTGAGGGGGAGGCAGCAGGGGCTGGCTGGAGTGTCCCAGCCCCTTGGCACTGCACAGGAGAGGTCTGACCACTGTGAGGAGGAGCTCAGAAACCACTCCAAGGTGTTAATGGCATAACTGTACAGCCTGCCTGCCTTGCCATGATATCTAGGCAGGTTTTATCATTCCCCCGAAGATATTACGAGTGCCTCTGTCACTGCACACTGCTGGCAGAGGCTGCTTTTTTGTGCTCAGCTTCCTGTTGCCTTTTCAGGCAAGTCAGGGCATGGTTGGCAGACAATAAGCAAGGACTTCCTAAAAACGACTGCTACATCGGATTTCTGGTGAAAGTAAAGCCATATTGTCTTTGGCAAAACAGCTGGTTTGCTGTTCTGTCAGGGACCTCATCTCCTCTGAGAATCACTCAGCAGCAGTTCACAGAGAAGCCTGTTCAAGGAATCGTGGGGTAAAGACACTTCATTCACTTTTTTATAAAAGAGGAGATGAGCAGTTATTTCTGATCGAGACCATTTTGGGTAGAATTGATACAACAGGACAGTTCAGCTATGCCTTTGAAGCCACAGCAGTGTTTTATTTTTCACTTCTAGCTTGACTAATAACCATCCAGCTTGAATGTTCTCTGTGAGATTTAATTTAGGAAGACTAGAGTACTACAGTGAACTTGGCTATAGTAAACAAATTATGACATGAATGGATTGTATTATCAGCCAATGTTTCTTTTCCATTAGGGGTCGAACAGGAAGGATCCGTGTCTTATCTTTCAAAACTGGTGTCGTATCCCTTTGTAAAGCACACCTGGAAGATAAATATAGATGTAAGTCGATATAATTATTTTGGGTTTACCTTATGTTTGTGTTCCTGTTTTATTCCTCCTGTTTATTTATTGAATAAACATTTAAATAACATACAGAGACATTTTAGATAGTGCAGATGTCAAGTGTGTTAATTTGTTTCACCTGGTACTTTTAAGTTATTTGTTCTCTGTAGTTTTAGCTACTTTAGCACTGTGGTTGCTGAGCATTTTTGATCACACCCCTCCCAACAGAAAAATTTTTGACCATGCGCTTCCAGTAGATGTATTTCTATTTATAAATTATGTACACATATCACTGTACTAGTATATCGTCTGCATTATAAAGCGTACCAGAAGTAGGAAGTTAGGAAGGATGTGATAAAGATGAAATAAACACTATTTTGAAACTTTCAATTTCTATTATCTGTCCAAAAAGTATTTCTTTACTTCACCCTATTGGATTGTCTTGAACACTCACTGAGGCACAAGAACCCATTTGGAGACCTGCACACCTTTGAACCCCTTTGGTTCAACACACCTTTATACATAAAAATGCATGTCTACCGGACACTTGCATTACACTATTTTCAAATATATTAACTTTTTAAAATGATTCCCACATTGTGGTCAGTCTTATTATGTACATTGTGTTTAAATGTAGTTGCTTACTTTAAATAAATAAATATTAAAGGTGTGCAAATTTTACACATTTTAAGAGATGAAATACTTAAAAGAACTCCACTTGCAGTCTTAATTTTACCTGACTAATTAATCAGTTCACTAATGAGACTAGGATCCAGAAAAGATTGACTGATAAATGTAGTTCTCAAGAGTAACTTTCTTGTCAAATTAACTGGTATCACTCATTCATGCACTTAAAAATACCACTGAAAATCCAGCCTTTAGGGTTTGACCCATAGCAATTCTTCATCAGTTGTTATCATTTTAGTCTCTAATAATGCAAGCTGAAGAACTCTAAAGAGAAAACAGGCAGTACCAACAGCGGGGTCTGTGCATGACAATGTGTAATTGGATCAGATTTTAGGGCAATCACAATGAATGTCACAGTTTAGATTTCTAGATGTTTCATGTGGGTGTTAAAAGTATTCAGAAAATCTTTTAAGAAAATTACTCAGTAGAGATATTTTTCAAAATTATATTTCATCAAAGATTATCAAAGTTATAAAGGAAACCATTTATCCATATTTTAGATACTCCTGCAGTGTCTGTGCACAGTAATGCATAACCTTTTAAGTGTCCTGTAACCTTTCAGAGGACACATAATGTTTTAGTGACAGGGAAATTGAAAGCTGGATAGCTGTGGGAGAGGAAGGACTTGTGTCTGTCTTGCTGTGATCTGGCTTTGCCATCCATGCTGAAGTTGTGGTGCAGTTGCCATTAGTATTGCTGCAAGTATGCAATGACTTGCACTCCTTACAATTTTTCTGTCTCATTTGTGCAGCAGAGCAGAGTTGGTTATGCTAGAGCAGCAGTCTTAAGGCTTGCAGAGGTGATGGAAGCATTCATCCCAGAATTACTCATTATGAAACTAGACTTTGCAAGAGTGAAATTCATGTAATTAAAAAATAATCCTTTCTCTATCTGTTCCTTTATTCCTTTGGAAGAAAACAGGTGTCAAAGCAGTGCTAGGAAAGTTATCTCAAATAGCACCTTTATAATTGTATCCCTGGTGTTGGGTGAAATATTAAAGTGACTCCAAAAAAAGAGCATTATTTTATTCTAGTCTTATTTTTCTCTCTCTTTTTTCTTTTTAACTGTTGAAAAGTAAGGAGAATTTATCCAGGTAATAAATGTATTGTCAACAGAGATATTGCCAAATATTTTATTTAATGATAACCTGTTCTTTTTCTTTTTATTGTGAATTCTATAACCTACTCAATATATACGTAGTACAATTAATTCCCACCAAATTAAATTGAGCTTATGAAGGGATAAGAATTCTGTCCTGTAAAGATTCTTTTCTAGAATGATGTAACAACAGAACATGGCTTCAAGTGAGATTTCACTTCAGAAGCAAAAAATTAATATGATATTAAAAATTGTGATGGATGGCAGGTTCTGCCATACTGTAATTCTTTTATTTTAGAAATTCTCTTGAATCAAAAGATGATCATATATCAAAGTTAGGAAGCTCTTGTTTATCATTTTAACTCATCTGGAAGAGAAATGGATTCTCTGAGTTGTGTTTTGATTACTAAGACTTGTAAAGGTGCTCTGTGTTGTATGAAATTATTTTACCATTAAACATTAAGACATCTGTGTTGTGGCATGAAGATGCTGCTGTTTAGTTAGCTTTGTTACGGAGTCACTGCTGCTGTTATCAGTAATGACACAGGTGCTGTGGCTTAGAGTGGCCTTTCTTCCCAGATACGAGCCAGAAACACTGTTAAAAATTACCACTAAACTTACATTTCACAGAAAAACCCTGGTGGTTATGGGGAAAGAAGCAGCCAGATTGAAGTCATATTTATGTTCATGTCCTCCAAGGCTGACGACCGCACCTGCGAGCCTTGGAAACAAGGCAAATCTGGGCTGCTTGCCACGTCCTGATAGCCATGCTTGACCTCTGGTCTCCTTCTCCTTCCTCCAGACCTGTTCAAACAAGTGGCAAGTTCCACTGGCTTCTGTGACCAGCGCCGGCTGGGGCTGCTGCTGCACGACTCCATCCAGATCCCGCGGCAGCTGGGGGAGGTGGCCTCCTTCGGGGGCAGCAACATTGAGCCGAGCGTCAGAAGCTGCTTTCAGTTTGTAAGTTCGTGTTGTGCTGGCTCCGAGTTTTCCCACTGGTGTTTTGTGTTGAGCTGTACTTCTGAGGAGGATTGAAAACCTGGGATGAAGGTTAGGGTACTGAGGGTCATGTGATGGTAGTGGCCATTGGTGTATTAAACTGTGCCTTTGACGAGGTATATTTGAATTAGCTCAGACAGCAGGTAATTGTCACTGGGGCTTCTGTTGGAACTGAACCCTGCAAACAGTGTCTTTGTTGTGGCAGCTCCTGGCTTTACAGTTTTCTATTGCCCAGCAGTAGATAACTATTTATTGCTGTCATGTAGGTGAGCAGCAGTGGTTTATCTGAATTTTGGGCATGTACGTACCAGTGACAGCCAGGTGCCCAGGGGAGCGATAGGCGACTGCCTGCAGTGCTGCCTAGGGGTGAGGAGTGCTCAATGAGCTCCTTCCACTCTTTGAATGGATAATACCAGTTTTCTTTTAAAGAGTACTGAAAGAATTCCTGTCCTGTCTGTTGAGGAATACACAAGCAAACTTGAGTCTCTTTTTCAAACTTGTAAATTATTTAATCTGGGGAAGGAAGAGAGTTAAGGGAATTATTCATCCCTATCATAACTACCAGCAGAATGCACAAGATGAAGACAGCTGCTTAATGAAAAGGTAGAGGAGGGGAGGTAATGTATGGTCTGTGATTAACTCTAAATGCATCTTCTACATTACAATGGAAGAAAGCTCTTTTCCCATCTCCTCACTGTCCCTGAGGGATTTTTTTGTTTGCTCGGGGAAGGGGGGAGTTGTTTGCTTTTTTGCCTGCTGCTCAAGTTTCATTATGTAGTAGTTTCAGTTCTGTGCTAAGCAAAACACAGCAAGTGTTTTCAATGAATATTAATGCATGGAAGTATACTGCTTACACACAATTTATAATTCTAATTTGTATTTGATGCCATTTCAGAATGAGTGTTTTATAGTGTGTCCTGGGTGGATAACTCATGCTCATAAACTGTGCACAGTGATGTTGATAGTTGTGTTAGATCCTGCTGGTGCTTTCAGGCCTTGACTTCCATGTTGAGCTTTCAAGTGACACCAACACAAAATTATTATGCAGCAAATCCATGGTAAAAACTTTGTACAAATGACCTTCCTCAGAAATTAGGACTCACTGGATTCTGTCATTTTCCCAAGTGAAGGTGAACAGCACTTTAGAACATCACTGAAAAACTGATAAGGAAAGTGACCTCAGAATCTAGCAAAACCATAGTTGTTTTTTTTTTTTAAAGAGGACTGCCATTCTGTGTGTTTCAACTAGGAATAAAACAATATAAAATCACAGTGATGAAACACACCAAGCCCATTTTTTTAAGGTAGGAAGAAGACTCTTGGAGATGGTCCTGTGCAGGTCTGGGAGTTGGACTCAGTGATTCTTGTGGGTTCCTTCCAACTCAACTTATTCTGTGATTCTGTGATTTTGTGGTAATTGTTTATTTGAGCAAAATGAGTTAGCAGCATTGTTATTAAAAATGAAGACATGTCAGCAGGCTGAATGTTGTACCACATCCAGCTGCTGGCATTTCTAGGAACAGCCCAAGCACTGCTGGACACAACCTTTGGCAAGCTCAGAAATCAGAGCACCAGAAAACCTGAGGTTTCTTTCTCTTACCTGCCCTGAAAAATAGATTTTCTTCTTACCTGCAATAGGAGGAATGTCATCCTCTCTTTTTTCCTCCAGATGAAGCTTCATTTTAATTCTCAAGAGTGCAAGGTGATTTCCATCCTGGGCTGCAGCAGAACAGATGATCTTCTAGTAGGGACAGAAAGGGGGAGGGAGGCTGAGACTAGGAGGGGATACAGAGGAATAGATGGGATGGAGTCCTAGGGAGAGGAGCAGAAATCCAAACACAGGGAAAGCCCTAATGAAGGTGAGGAAGAAGGAATTAAGGAGTGGAAAATAAGGATGGTTCTTAAGAAAGGCACAGTAAGAACAACAATAAGAATAATAATGATGAAGGAAGCAGTGTGGATAGAATGAGGCATGAAAGAAAGGAGCAGCCAGGAATGGAGATGGGGAAAGAGACAAGAACTTTCCATGAGAAAGGGAGAAGTGGAACACTGAGACATCCTTTCAGTGTAGGATGGTGGGCACCAGGATCCACGGGCTGGGGGACAAGTACAGAAGTGCTGGTGGGGGAGAATACAGAGCAGCCCAGGAAACAGAGAGGCTGGAAAAGCTGGACAGCCAGGCAGTACTGCTGCTCCCAGCAGCCTCCTTTTACTGAAGCAAGATAATTCATTTTTGAAGAATATTGTGGGAGTTCATAGTTTACATTACTGCATGGAAACTAATTTAAGTCTTTCTTTGTACACCCACGTTGAGGAATGCTTCTTCTTTAGTTTTGGGTTTTTTCTTTACTTTCTTCTTCCTTCTTTCTTCTGGTGATGAAAAGCCAGCAATTTAATTGCAGTCATGTCAAAGTCGCAACAATTGTGTGCTTCAGAAATGGTTCTTCCAGCTCCCTTAGGTTAGTGCCCTGGCAACGGCCTTGTCTGTCTGCACAGCAGCAGAAAAAAAGGGGATGTTTACTGTTCCCATTGATAACAGGGGAAATGTCTCCTGCTTTTTGAAGAGTGAGTCCTTGGGAGTGATGTTTGGGCAAGGAGGAGCCCAGCCCTGCTGTTGGCAGCAGCCTTGCCTGCTGCACTCCTCTGCTCCTGAGAATTGGATTCCCTTCTGAGCTGCTGCTCCAGTCTGCCTGCTACTTCTCACTCCCCCAGCACTGACTTTGCTTTCCATAGTTTTCTTCATTTGCAGGAAGGTGCTGAGAGAAGTTGTTGGGAGGAGAAGGATATCATAGGACTCATCTTTCCTATTTGGGGCAGGGTGTGTAATTTCTGCTTTGAGATTCTAAAGAAAAAATACTTTTAAGTTTGGAGAGCAAGGAGCTTAATCCAGTGACCACTTGAAGACTGTATAGTTCTGCTTAAGCTCAGAAAGCATCAAAGCAATCTATAGATCCATGAAAAATTGAGTGAATTCACTGTTGCTGCAGTGTGAAAGGACTTTCCTTTTAGTTCTGTGATGAGTACGTTTTTTAAGTAAACAGGATAGGGAAATGATATGGAGTGAAGGACACACAGTTTTAACAGTGGAAAATTATTAATATGCTTTCCTCATATAGTGTAAACAGGACCTAGGAATTCACATCACTGCCTTGGATGAGTTACTGTGACATTGGGACTTTGAAGAAATGTGATGAGAGAGCAGAGTGTAGCTCAGATGAAAATGTCCTTTGCCATGTCACAGATGTTGGATAGTTGGTTCTTAGTTATAAAATGCTTTAAGTATGCTTTTTTTCCAAGGATATACTTGAATTAGAGTTGGTGTTAAAAGCTAGAACAGATGAAGCTGAACAGTAGTAAAATATGTGCAGTGAATTCATACATGTATTTTTAAACCTTATTTTGCTTCACTTTGATGTAGCAAAGTATTTTAATACTCTGTATTGTATAGTCTTCATTACTAGATTTGTATTTGATCAATGGTAAGGCAAGATCAGCCTGCTTTCTAAAACCATGGAAATGTGTCCAAATTTGGTGTATTTACTCAGGCAAATAAAATCCAAAATAGAGCTGTTAGTCCTTTTAGGTGGCATTGGAGTGTTACAAATCCTGGGCCAGGACCCTGAAAGTGATTTTGGCCATAAATGTGGTGATTTGAATTACTTGGACAGTTGTTTCTTGAGGCATTTTTTATTGCTTTTATTTCTTGAGCAGTTAGGAAATACCATTACTGTGTATAAATAACTATGTACAGTTACATATACAAGTCTATATTACTCACAAGTGCAGTGTTACTGTTGAGGAACTCGATCTCTTTTAAGAGATACAGGCAGACCTTGTTTCTATTCATAGGATATTTCTTCTGCTGCTGGCTCTGACAAGAGAGAGATGGCCAAAGGGAACTAGCAAATCCTTCCTCAAGCTGCTGTGCTGTAAATGTCATAAAACAGCAATCCAGGTTTTATTTCAGCAGGATTTTGTGAAGCTGTGCCTGACTTTGGAGGCAGTCTTGAAGAGTCCTACAAGTGAACTGCTTTCAAAAACTATTTTACAGTGGTTTAGGGGATGGTGTTCAAGTGTGGGTCATATAAAACATATAAAACACTAAAAACATTGACTGGCGTAGTCAATGCAATCAAGTGTAATGCAGGAGTGGAACACAAGGGTGAGGAGTGTTAGGTCTGACTCTGGGGAGACAGGGTGGCTGTTACTGGCCATTCTGCATTTTTAGACTTTAACAAGTTGTAAGTATCCCATCCCTCAGTTTGGTTTGTCCAAAAAAGTATTTGCTAATGTAAAGCTTTCCACCCAGGGTGAAAAACACCATTAAATTAACAATTTTAATTTATTTCTGGTCAATTTCCTATGCTGCACATAAACAGAATATAGCTAATCAAAAATGCTAATCAAAAATCAGAAATTTCTGCTGTATTATCTGACTCAGTCCAAAAGCCTAGCACTTTGTAGCATATTTCCTGTTAAGGACAGACAAAGTTAATACAGCATAGGATGTTTTTTAAACTACTAGGAGGAGGAAAAGGGAGGGAAGAACAAAAAATGCATCTCCCAAGTATTGCATAAAGATGCTAGCACCACCCAACTTCCTATTTCCCCATTGTTTCTGCAGAATAAATACTGAAAAACAGATGTCTGGAACATAATGAATTTGAATGTCCTCCATAACAAATTGTTACTTGTAAGCTGGAAAGGCCTTAATGAATTTTACTTTATGATTCACTCTGTTATTACCATAAAAATTGGGAGTTGCACAGAAATGTGTTCAAGAGAAGAACCATTAATATTCTTTACAGCTTGATCTTGTTGCTTTAGATATGAATTGTATGAATTCAGCCTTTTTCCCGTATGTAAAGTCTTCAGCTGCTGCCTCACTGGATTTAGAGATTATTAAAAAAATTGTAATAGCAGCTCGGGAGACAGTCAAGAACTGTCTGTCCTATACTGTCTGACCCTGACCAGCTTTTCTCCACGTGGCTTTAAATCTTCATGTAATATAATTCAGAACCAGTTCTGATACATTTTAATGCACCTAATCTCTCTGAGCACAGGTTTTGTACAGCCGCCATACGGAGCTCTGGGTAGGCAGCTATTGGGACTGCTGGCAATTGACAGTGACTGCAAAATTAAAATAGATCTAGGGTGTTACAGAAAGTCTTTCATTGCCACAGCATTTTCCCTGCAAATTTAAAGCAGCTACAAGTGGAGAGCTGGCTACAAGCTTGGAGCAGCTCATTCTTATTCTGACTGCAGCTTGCACTGCAGCATTTCTGTACACCTCATGTTTTTCTATTAGGAATGGTATATTAAAGAGATCTTATTAATTTTTATTTTTTTTATAGGCTAAGAGGACCTATGTATAGAAAGTGTAGTCTGCTAGGCAGGGTAATGGTTTGCCAGTGTAGTTGCTGGCTGAAGCTGGATCTCTCAGTGAGGCACGGAAATCCTCTCCCCTGCCTCTTTATTGCCCTGCCTTCCAGCTGAAAATATAGATGGTCATGTTTTATAAACATGCCTTTCACTTAGGAGTTCCAGAATTAATTTAATTTGACTGAATTCACTGATGTGCTGTGGCAGAAGGCAGTATTCACTGTTCTGAACAAATCCCCTTTCCAGTGTTTACTGAACTTTATTGTGCTTTTGATATTCACTTTTTTATTTTTGAGGGGCCTTCCTAAATTCTGTAGCTATGTGAAAAAATAGAGAACCAGGGTTTAATGCAGAAGATGTCAGAAGTGTTTCAGCATGTATTCCATTTAATATAATCCTTTCCTAAATATCAAATTGTGAAGGACTTTATCTGAATAATTCTAGATAAGTTCTGATTTCATGTTTTTACACCAAATATGCAAAAAAGGATATTTTTGACTATACTAGAAGTCCCTGTATATGGACCCCAAGTGTAGTCATAGGAGTCGTTGGATTGTTTCCCAAATGAGCATATCTAGAAGGAAGCTCTGATCAAGAATCCTTGTTTCTAATGAACTAAAGTATTGCAACAGCATTTTAAGTCAATTTTAGTGCAATGCTTTATTCAGGGCATATTACAGCCATTGTATTTCACATCTTTTTTGTGGGTTTCTGTCTGAAAGACTGCATTTTTCTTAGCCTCCAAATATTGATCAGTTAATTTGTTTGTCAAGGTTACAAACAGTGTTAGATTTAAAAGAAAACAAAGAACAAAACTACAGCTAATTGGTTTTCCCTATTGCTCTCCTGCAGATCAGTTGGGATATTTTTTTCTCGAAATTCATTGCTAGCATTTTTAGTGGAATAAGGTTTTAGCTAGATTACACTAAATTCAAATTTCGTGAGAAACTGGAGAAGTAACTGAGAGCAAGAATAAAAATCCTCAGCACTCAATCCCCTATTCATCTTGGTCCATGTACATGATACATTAATGCTTATTATTTATTTAAATGCTTCAAATAGGTTTGGAACCACAAAGGAAGACAGTCAGCCTTGTGAAGTTTAAAATATAAAAGACTGGCCCGCTGAGAGCTGTATTTGAAAGCCTAGAGAAAAAGGAAAACAGAAGATTTAAATATATTCAGACCATAAATATGCTGTTACTGTGGGTAGCATGGAAGGAAATGTCTCGAGGAATTGGAATTAGCATGTAGTGATGGTTTAGAGAAACAGAGCAAGATGTTACCTCTCTTCATCACTTGGGCTGTTCCCTGTGTGGACACATCCTCCCTTCTCCCACCCTCTCCACTAGAGCCCCTTGAGGTTTCCACCTGATCCATCACCTCACTTTCAGCACTGAGGCCATCTCCCAGGTTCTCAGATAACCAGTTTTGTGCAGGCTTTGTGATGCCCCGCACAACAGAGGGCTGTTTCCTGTAAACACTGACTCCATCATTCCACTGTTTTCCTTTAAATCCTTTTTCATGCTCCTTGCCTTTGTTCTGCACTGTTCTTTGCAGTGTCCAGCCTGCTGGTGCAGTGTGACCTCTACCAATGCACAGAGATCACTGCTGTCCCCAGTTTCCTTGTAGATTTTCTCTCTTTTTTTTCTTTTTTCATATTATGGGTGCTCTGGGTAGAGATGATATATCATTTTTTCAGGGGTGCATGATGCCTGGCTCAATGGGATTTGGCTCTGTGACTGAGCTTCCTTGAAGTTACCATGAAAGAGATATCTGAAATGTCACACTGGTTGGGATGGGACGGGATGGGATGGGAAAGCAGCAGAGGAATGGTTTGGTCGAAGTGTTCATAGCTTCTTCTGCTGTTGGCAAAGAAATGAGTGTGGGATGTAGTGGACTATGAGAATCATATTTTGTGGGACAGAACTGTATTGTGTTTGCAGTCAGTGATGGGAAATTTAAAGAAGATCTGGTGAGAAGAGAAGGTTTGAGGCATTTAAGGAGAAAGAGGATGTTCAACAACAAGTCTTGAGAGAGATTTGAATGATTTCCTTACGTATGCATTATGAAGAAAGGTCAGTGTGATAATGAAAGATGTTAAGGAGAAAGGAATTTTGATCAAAAGACATGCAATTTTTAGGGTTTGGATAGCAGTTTTTAAAATAGGTGAGAAGCAGTGCTATGCAGGCTCAGATAAGAGAGACAGGGAATGTGAGATCAGGCATCAAAGGCGATCCTGTAAGTGGATGATTTTCTCTGTGACAAAGTACATGGTAGTGCTGTCTATTGTAATAGAGAGAATAAGAGAAAGAGAGGTTTGAAATATTAATAATAGTTTTCAGTTCCTGGCTTGAAGGCAGGATCCTAGGGATTTTTTATTTTTATTTTTTTTAATGAAGACTTGGACTGGGGGAAAAGCTGGAGTATATTCATGGAAGTGATATGGAGTTGACAGGAAGCGAACAGCTTGAACTTTTAATTAGCTGCTGAGTAGACAGATAAGTTGTGCTCAGCCCCTGTCATTTTTCCCCTTGTGTTGCAGGCCAACAACAAGCCTGAGATCGAAGCAGCCCTCTTTCTGGACTGGATGAGGCTGGAACCACAGTCCATGGTGTGGCTGCCTGTCCTGCACAGGGTGGCTGCTGCTGAGACCGCCAAGCACCAGGCCAAGTGTAACATCTGTAAGGAGTGCCCCATTATTGGATTCAGGTACAGACTCCCTCCCTTTCATCCACATACACTTCTGCTTGGTGGATCAAGAGCTCTGCCTGATTCCAGGCAAATCGGGAGCTTCATTTTGTAGGCATTTTGTTCTTGGAAAAAATAACTGTGATGCAGACATGAGGGTGCCAGGGGACTTGAAGAAGACAATAGTCATCTCTCAGTTAAGATACGGCCCTTCCTCTGTTTCCCAGTCTTTCCATGCCTCAACAAAAGCATTGTTGGATTGCACAACTAACACAATTTGCCTTACATTCAATGTGTCCTATGCAGTTGCATTTTCTGAATTGGATCCTAATGGGTTGCTTTCTGTCATGTCATAAAGCAAGGAAGTGCCTTGAAAATTCTCAGGCGTGTAAAAGCTACATGTGCATTTCTCATAGAAAGAATGTTGGTGGAACATTAACCTGGAGTGGGGGAAATGTTGCTGGTCTATTTAAACATCTGGATTGACACTGTGGTTACTATGGCAATGAATAAGTCACTGTGTTGTAAAATGGCTGTGTGTTGGTGTGCCTGTTGAGAAGCCACTTAAGGGCTAAGTAAATACTCACTTTCAATTATGCCTAGACTTGTTTTATCACTTTGCTTCGCAATAGCTGCTTTGTATGGTTTCTGCCCTTTTTACACACAGTCTTCCTTTACCATTTGAAAACCTTTGGCGTTTCTCCTTCTGTGTTACCGTGTTGTTTACAAAGAGCTTTCTGTAATTTTGTTTCTAAAACCCAGATAGATAACAGCAGAAAGCAGTGCTACACAAAAAAGCCATCATTTTGCTCCAACCTGGGAGCAGACGAATGTTGCTTTTACGCATGTAGTGGGGCAGTGCTTTCTGCCACAGTTTCACTGTGGGAAATGGGGGAAATTATCAAGGTATTTCTTGCTTTGTTTTGAATCTGAGACTATTGCTCTAATAGTCTAAGTTCTTTTCCTTTTGCTTTTTATTCCCCATTAATATCTTAACTGGGAAGTGATAAATATTACTGAGGAAGAGCTATGGATTGGATGTTAGTAATTCAACACATCCACAAAGTCTAATTTTCCCATTCCCAGATATGGTTTATGAACTACTGTATTACTTACACAGTTCTGTATAAACCAGCCAAAGACAAGTAGGTGGAATTGAAAAGTGCAGCCCTTAGAAATATCAAAGGATGGCAAGTGAATGGATAGCCTGTTGTAAGCACCAAAAACTCGGGAAGCAGACACTGGAGCTCTGTGTTTGTGTCTAATTTTACTTGACTGATCTCATCTGTCTCTTAAATTTATATAACAAATCTATTATCATGACAGTAGAATCTGTCTGTTGCAGATTTTTTTCTCTGTCTTTGCAAGTCATTGAAACCCTGTGTACACACTTGACAAAAGGATACTGTATTGGGAGGCTTTTAGAAAGCTAATACTGTGCACCCAGTTCATGCAAAACAATGTTCTTTTGAGGTCGTTGTGGCTGAGCTGCTTCGTGTATTTGGAACAAGACAACCCTTATGCCTCCGGCACTTTCAACCACTTCAGCACAGCAGATACAACAGTTAGCTGCCTCATAGAGCTGATGAGATTAAATAATGGCCCAAAAGTGCATTTGGAGTTTTGCATGGATGGAATGCTCTACAGGAAAATTGTTTATATAGATGTGCTAGGAAGGACACAAGGGTGTTGCCAGAGTGACTTACTTACTGATAGGGCATTACTTTTTTTGAATTTTCCTCCTGGAGGACATTTTGTTTAAGGAATCATGACGAAGAGCAAAGGATCTGAAGTTATTGTCATAGAAATAAAAAGTGTGGTAGTGTCTTTCATATATTAAAGGTGAGTGAATGTGTAAAAATTTTCACTGTTGCCCAATATAAGAAATTTTTTTGAAGATTGAGATCTTTGACAAACATCTGAGGCAGCAGTACCTGTCCCTCAGGGCAGAAGAGCATTTCTGGGCATTGCATACCATGTGACATCTCACAGAGGAGAATTTACTAACACAGCAAACTTGATGGGTGATATGAAGCAGTCACATACAAAGCTCTGAAGCCATGAAATTTTCTTTTCTATTCTCTTTTAGGTACAGAAGTTTAAAGCACTTTAACTATGACATCTGCCAAAGTTGCTTCTTCTCTGGCCGTGTTGCAAAAGGTCACAAAATGCACTATCCCATGGTGGAATACTGCACACCAGTAAGTAGCTGTTTTACTGACCCTTACTGTCCCTTCTTAGGTAGAAAGGAAAACCTTTTCCTATGTGCAAGGTTAATGAAGTGTTAGGACTGCTTTTCTTCCCTCCCCCAGTATTAAATCTCATTTTATATACTAAACATACCAGCAGCTTTCCGTGCTTAGTCAAGGATACTCCAGTGGTTTGAAATAAACTAAAGTTCATTGTTTGCACAGTTCTGTGTTGTAATGTATTGTTGTATGCTAATGACTTGTTCCATGTTCAGTGCTATAGGTCACTTTATAGATCCTCCTGGAAGCACGTGATTTGTGTAAATACTCATTCAGATCTTGGGTCCCAAGGTTTTCTCCACATCAATGTGTGATTTTTTTTTCCTCCTTTCCTCATCAAGTTGCTGCTTTCCCCCACAACAGTATGGTTTGCATTTTTAAGTTCTTCATTATTTCATGGTACCTTTGTATTGTATGATCTCTTGATGATATAAAATGCCAGGGAAGCTGTCATGGTTGCAAGGTGGATTTCATTTCTGAAGCAGGGAAGGCAGGGTGTTCAGTACAGGGTGCTGCAGAAATGGTATGGTGAGGGTCTTCACCCTTCTTTCACACCTCCCAAAAGGATTGGTTTTGCATAAATGTTTTTTCACACCTGACAGCTGGCAAAGAAAATTCTGGATTTCTCTCTCAGTGTGTCCTTTTTTCTTTTTGGCCTCTCAGGACCAGAGCAAAGGGGCATAAATTAGAGACACTCTCAAGTTAAACTTCCACCACCTAGCAAGAATGAGTTTTCAGCTGCCTTTGCTATTGCTTGTGTTGGTCTTGAAGCAGTGCACTCTGGTCAGCATTTCCTGGTGAGATAGGATTATTCCTACTCTTTCATCTGCTGGTAGTCATAAATGTTGAAAATAAAGCATCAAAATTACACTTGGAATAGCCTCATAAAATAATATGAACAGTCTTTAAATCTTCATCCAAGCAAAAATGCATATCAAAAATGCAGTAAAGACTCTCAGATTTTCTTAGAGACCTAAAAAAGAGAGAAAAAAAATTTATGCCCCTAAAATATTATAGTAAAGCAAGCTTAGGTTTTTTGTTAATTTTAGCTTACGCATAGTTACTTGCATTATCTATCAGCTCTTACCCATCAATGGCCATATTTCCAGGGAATCTCTGCAAGGGCAGCCAATGCACATTAGCTGGCTCTTTGTCAGTTCTCGTTGGTGTTTTCAGCGCTGTCCCCCAGGGACGGAGGTTGCTGGGAGGGAGATTTGCCTGAACTGCTGCACAAGGCAGAGGGAATCTCTGGTGCTGCCTGGGCAGGTCTGAACAGACTTCTCCATTGCAGGCATTCCTAGAGCAGAGTCTCATGATCTGAGTCGTAGGCAGGGTGGGTGAGTGAGTGAGTGAGTGAGTGAGTCCCTGGGAGCCTTCCTTCCACCTGAACCCCTCCTTCCTGGATTGACTGTGGGTTTGCTTTGCACTTTGCTACTCTTATTTTTGCTAAGAAACAACGTGGGAGATTTGTGAGTGGTGCACAGAGTGCACAAACCAGTATCTCCCAACTATTTTCTTACCCTTTTGATGTGTTTTGACGAAAGAAAAATAAAAAAGGATTACGAGGTGCACCCCTAGCCTGCAGCAACTCATTGCAGTGCTGTGTCCAGCAGGTTTATGTTGTCCCTGAAAATACAGATTACTAAGAGGTGAACGTGGTGGTGAGCAGAAAACCTGCCACCATGTCCAGCTTGCTGGATCAGAATAAAGAACCATTCACAGCCAGTGGATTTTTCCCTGAACTCCAGCAACCCGTGCTAATGTGCCGTGCCTGGCTGCACAAGCAGCCAGCTGAATTAGAGAAGGATTAACTGGGGTGGAGGGGGAGCTGAATGTGACACACAGCAAGCCCCAATTCTTTTTGTGTAGCTGCTATTAAAAAAATTTACCCAAGTATTGGGGTACTGAACATCCACTGGAGCTATGTCTAGTTTGTAATTGTTTTCTAAATGAATGAAAAAGAGTATGCAAGTGGCAGAGCATTTATCGGTCTTCCTCCACACTAATCTGTCATCATGAAATGCATTTTGGCAGATGCAAGACATGTGATGCATTCTTTGATAATATCTTTGCAATAATTTGATGTGCACACTGAAATGTTCTGATATTTTTATTCTCCCTCCCTCTTAGTATCAAGAAATTTTTGAGCACTGCAGTCTTTAATTCTGCTTAGGGGAGTTTTGAGAACTCATGCTAAATACCTGAGGGATGTGATAATTTTCTCTCTCTTGCAAAAGGTTGAGTCAGAATAAGGGCAAGGCAGTTGCCTGGTTTTCATTTAGACAGAAAAATTATAACAATTATTCCTGAAGGGAACACAGCTCAATTTATTGTTCAAAGATACAGGACTTTTAGAGAGGTTTCAAACAAAGGATAGATGACAACTTATAGACTGAGATGTAAATGTAGGATGATTTTTCTGTTAGGGTTTAATGAACAGTGACACACAAACATAAAAAACACCTTGTTGGAAGGAAGTGTGTCAGACTGACAGACCTGTCTACAGCTGGGGTTTCCACTCAGGGCTGAGGTCTGGGGTGGGGGGTTGGCAGGGCACTTTCTTAAACCAAACTGGGAAAAGTCAGCTGGTGGTAAAGCTATTCCTATGTGAATAAAAATAACTATTTCTTATGAAATAGTTTGGTTTCAGAATAGGTTTGCAACATGCTCAACCCATCTGCCTATATGTTGCTTTGATTTAAGAGAGCTGGGTTGCTGAAACTCCACTATTTCTTCCTCATAAACAAGTTGTGCTGGAAATTTTGATTTGGATGATTTTACTCTGAAAATCATATGTAATAAAACATCTGTGGAGTAAATCAGAAGGTTTGGCTGAAAATAGCCTGTTAATCATCTTGTCCATGTAATAATCACATTATCTTTGCCTTTTTTGTGCTCCTTGAACATTTTTTAAATGGCAGTTGGGTCGTATGAGAGGTGTCTGATGCTTTTAGTTGTCACTAGAAGATATATTTTCTTCTTGGGATTCTTGTGGTACCAGCTAGATTGGGATGCCTCTGTGCAAGCACAGCATTTTGCTGTTTGGTTGTAATAGAAAAGGTTCAGGGGAGAGAGGGGGGAGAGCAGTCCCAGGAAGGCTGAAGCAAAGAATGTTTCATTGCTGATACCTGAAAACACTCAATCCAAATTACAGTCAAATGCAATAGAAAGTGTTCTCAACATCAAAAATAGACAGAGCATAAATAAATGGTTATAAATGGCACAGGTGAACAGCTGGACAGAAAGCTGTGCTTAGTCTATTTATACTGAGATTAAATATTAAAAGTTTTTCTGTGTTTCCAGCTGATGTGCTCTGTGTGCTCTCTTGATGACAAGCTGGTTAAGAGCTCTCCTGGCAGGCATTGCAGATGGAATTCAGCAGAGGGAATTCCCTCCTCCGGGGGGCATGGGCAGGGAGCCACCTCAATAAATCACCTTTCTGGAGTCCTCTGGGTGGTCTGGGCACACTTCATCCCTCCCTTCCCCAAATGTCTTTACTTCTGATTAATTAAGGAAGGAATACTTAATATTACCAACCATTATCTTAGTTTCTTGAAAATACAAATGCTGCTGTACTAGCTTATAGGTTCTGCTGTGTCACTTCTCTGCCAGTCATTGCTTACACAGAGTGTTCCTGCCAGACAGACTGGCAGAAAGGGAGCCAAATTCTTTCCAGCTTTACATGAAGCTTCTAGGTGTTGTAAGTACAGGGATAATATTTGCTTTTTCTGTTAAGGCTTTTCAGTCTTTCTGCAGATATTTTTTCAGGGCATCTTTAATTTTTCTACCTTTTAAAAATCTATGTATGTGTGTTTGAGCAGCTCAGTGAAGGTTGGCTTAACTGATAGGTTCCAGCACGTCCTTCCCCTCTATGCAGATGGCATAGGAGTCAGTAAAAGTGTCAGAAAGATTAACTTTTCCCTAATTTCTTTCTTTTAAATTAGATAGATTGGTGGAGCAATATTGTTATGTGGGTCAGGAGGAACTTAATTTACTGTAAAAGATCAGTACTTCAGGGTCTAGTGTTTCTGCCAGGTTCAGAGAAGGGAGTGCAGCCTGACTGAAGTAATTGAAGTCTTACATTAAAATTCATCATAAAATTGCCTGATTCTTCGTCAGGCTCTCAGTAAGTCTTGCATCTTCACAGCAGACATCCTTGAAACTCTTCCTGACTCTTTCTGGTCTTTCTAAATCTACACTGTGCTCCTCTGCTGGTCTCTACAGCAGGAAAGGAAGCCTGCTGCAGGGCAAGGGAGTAGAAAACTTCATGCAAATTGTTCTCTCCTCAGAGTATTGATCTTAAATGCCTGCTAGCTTCACATTGAACAGGTACAGGAAGAAATAACTGATCTGAGAGCTTTCAGAAGCTCTCACCTGCTTTTTTTTTTCCCCTTTGATCAAACTACTAATGGCACAGAAGGCTGAGGAGGGAAACTGGAAAGAAAAGGTACCTAGAGACTTTCATAGATTGACAGGTCCATGAGATGGAGATGCGTGCCAAGTGTGTGGTAAGAGTTGGGATCCAGACAGTGAAGCACCCAGCTGGACACACGGACTGGCTGTGTGTCCTCCACTACAGCCATTTTAGTGCTGAACCAAAAATAGGCAGAGAGTACCCCCACAGCCAGGTGAGGAAATGACAAATTATGGTCTAATTGTTGCTTGTCTTCTTGAGATCACCTGAGGTGAAGCATGAGCCTTTCAGGGGGTTTTGAAACTTCTCTTTCCCTCCTTCCTCCCCACTAGCAGTGTCTCTGTAGTGCATTGTAAGGTGACAGTGATGGACAAAAAAAGATTTGTGGTTCTGGGGCTCAACCCTTTGGCAGCTTTGCTTGGTGTGATCACAGCTCTTCCGACTGACCCAGCAAAAGAAGAGGTAACTGAAAAACAGTGACAACCTCATGAAAGATGATTTCATTGTGATTTGTGGCTTTCAGACAACTTCAGGAGAAGACGTCCGTGACTTTGCCAAGGTACTAAAAAACAAATTTCGAACAAAAAGATATTTTGCAAAGCACCCACGAATGGGCTACCTGCCTGTGCAGACTGTCTTGGAGGGAGACAACATGGAAACGTGAGTAGCTCTGAAGTGTTTAAGTAGCAATTCATTTGGTACACTATTTGAGCTCCCCAGCTGGTGCCAACTCCTTTCACTTCCTAAATGCATAAAGCCTCTTTATGTCTTTCATTTCTGTTTACCTCGCCTGGCAGGAAAACACAAGCTGGGCTTCCAGTTGTCATTGCCTTTATCTGCTTTCACCTGTCCTTATACAGGAACTTCAGCTTCAGTTAAAAAAAAATACTCACAGTCTTACTGGCAGTCTTACAGACTTCTAAGTTTGATGTGCAATTTGGAGGCTAATGATACATTTATTATTTTTTTTTTCTTCCAAACGGGTATCTTTCCTTGGTTTTCTTTTTTTAATTAGGCTACGGTATTTGTGACCTTCCTAGATGATTTCTTCTTTTCTCAGCCTATAAATTAAGTCTTACTAAATGACTTTGATGTCTTCATGGGAAAAAAAAGCAGTAATGATGCACATGGAGAAATCAATGACTTAACCCAGCTCCCTTTGGTTCTTTACACGTTTAATCAGTTGTTTAATGGCAATTGCATGCAGCTTGTTCTCGCTCTTTCTCTTTCTCTTTTTAAATTTTAGATTCCAAGGTTTTTTTTTCTCACTTTTTGGTTGGTTGCTCTTCACAGCCATTCATGTTGGTCTGTTGGATTTCTGCTTTTTAGTTATTGTGACTTTTTTTTTTAAACTTTCTGTAATTATTTTGCTGCTGAGTTTCTTCTGCCTTTCTCTTCACCTCCTCATTTTTTGTCTTGCAGTCCTGTTACTCTGATCAACTTCTGGCCAGTAGATTCTGCGTGAGTACTTTTGCTGAAGTGTGCTGCTGCTGCTACTGCTGCTGCGCTCCCTCACTTTTTCTTTTTGTTTATTTCTTCATTTATTTTTACATGAGATCATTTCCTTCTTTCTTTATGATTATTTCCTTTGATGCACTCTCTGAAGGAATGTTTTGATCCCAAATGAGTAGAATGAGATAAATCCTGGAATTTCCAGCAGTCATGGATTTTGTACTTTGTACTCTTTCTGGAGTATGTATTTTTCATCGAATTAACAGGGGTTTTGTGCAGACCTACTAATGCTTATCAAAGTTTGTCATTTAAAAGCCTGTGTTTCTGAATAAGTGTTGATCCCTCTGAATGTATACTAAATGCTTTTTGAAAGACAGAGATGGAACTTGATATGGATTTAATTCAGTTTTCAAGAATGACACAGTTTTGCAGATAAAGCTGTAATTTGGTGCTATGTGCAACTGTGCACACTTGAGTGCCCCATTTAATCCAGAGCTCACTGAGTATTTTATTACAGTCTTTTAGATACTTTCAGATTTGTGAAGGCAGGTTGAAATGGGGAAATGTTTACTGTATTTTTACAGAAGTTAAAGAACATGGGGTTTTCAGCTGTGGAATAGATTTTCATTCTTGCACTACTCCAGCACATGCATTGTCTTACTGTTGTAGTAATAGCCTCAGCATAAACTAAAGGTAGATATATATTTACCATTGTGGCATTTGCTACTTCTAGTGTTACACAGATGTTTCTAGAATAATGTTAAATAAGGATAAATTTTAATTCAAATATTGATAACTAATGAGAAACTAATAAATAGATTTTTTATATTTCTATATGGTAAATTGTATATGGCTTGCAACTCCATTGAACTTTTTGTAGAATAAACGAGTGAAATGTATACATTGGAATACTGATTTATAATTTTCATTGGGAGCACAAACCCTTGGGAAGCTAAGGGAAGTGTTCTAGCTCTAGGAAATTTAAGCAACCAAGAAACACATCTAATACTGCAAACCTCATATGGCTGAGAATTCACCCACAGAGATGCCAAATGTGTGGAGCCAAGCTGAAATAGAGGCACTTTGAGCTTGAGGATGCACTTTTATAGATGCAGCTATGGATCTAGATTCCTTACATTTCAGAACAATCTCAAAGTCAAAAGTAACATTCAGAGAAAGCTTGGATCATGTGGAATACCATTGCTGTGTCTGACATAATATGAAATTAGGCTGTCATAACATGGTTATTTCTAGTTACTTGTAGTAATAACATTGTGGTGTGCCTACACCGATAGCTTCACACCAAAGGTTCACAGTTATATACTACAGGGAGTTTAACACATGTAATATCTGAGGAACAGGATTTGTGCAGAGAGTTTGCACTTTTTGTCACACTAACTCAGATATCTTCTGGAGCATAATCCTTCCATCTGGTCTGACAACGAAGCAGAAAAATAAGAAATTAATAGTGGCTGGAAAGAATAGCCCTTAATTTTGTTCTGCTAACTTTATTTCTTTCCTTCATGCTATAGCACTTGACCTGCAATTCAAGTTACTGAGCTACCCAGGTTTAAAGCCGTTTCTCGGTTACAGGGTGATGCCAGCTCCAGCAGACAAACCAGTTAGCATAAAACTTCTCCATGTTTTCTACACTCATGCCTTTTTCTGGTGCTCTCGTGCCAGTTTTCTGGTTATCCTTGAAGTGCCTCAGAAAAGCATCACCTGGCAGCACTTAGCAATGCTAGTGCTCTTCTGACACCAACATGTGATATACAGGGAACTGTTTATAAATAGATATTTTTTGTTGTTGAAAATGAATGGTTCTTACTGATTATTGTCCAGTATTTTGTCCAGATACGCTGTTTGCCAGGCATTAAAGGGACAGTTCACAAATTGTGAGAATTTGTATCTTTTTACTTGAACTGTGATGGTGCAAGGATGCAAATACAATTTACTTGTTTCTACACTTTCAGGAGGCATCAACTAAAATGCTGAACAAAGAAAAGTACCCTCATCCTGCCAGCCAGGTCTCGGGGGGTGCAGGGAATTGCAGGAAGGTGGCGTTTGCCACTTGGTCACTACTTGACTTGACTAGAACTCCCAGGCTGCTCCTGCAGACCCCAGCATGAACAAGGCAGCTGTGGAGCCCTTGTAAAAGGGGTGGTTATCTTGGCTAAATATTGGCTGTGCAACTCAGCCTTCCTGCTGACTGTTTGAGCTGATTAGATGTGCTGGATATTTGTGCTTAGAAAGGAAGGGCTGTGAGCTCTAGCACAGGTGGCCACTAAGAGTACGTAAAATACAGTTGTTCTCAAGTTTCCTCAGAGCCTGGCAAAAGTACCTCTGAGCAGCTGAGTGCAACACAAAGCAATGCTTCTCTAGCAAGTCTGCTTTCTTAAGCAGACTTCTAAAAAGCTGTTTCAGGTATATCTCCCCTGCAGTATGTTCTGAAGCAGAGACAAACCTGGAATTGTAGACTCACTCCCTGCTTGCAGCTGGCAGAATCAGCTCCAAGTTACACAGCAACATGTTGTATTTTAAAAAATATGTATTTTTATATATATTACACAACTTGGTCACTTTTGAAGTTACAGCATAACTTCAAGGCAGCAAGGATATATTCATGCAGTCAGGCCTGACTTTTTGCCATGCAGTACTGCAAAAAGAGGCATCTCATTGCCCAGTAGGTCCCAAGCAAGTGCTGTCCCAAATGCATGAGCAATGTCAGGGTGAGAGGCACTGAGAGAATGATCCCACTCAAAACTGAAACTACTTTTAACACATATTTCCTAGTCCATGCACAGTATTAGCATCAACGTTCGTGTGTGTGCTGAAAACGAGACCTCTTCTTTGACTGATGGCACCAGTTAAGACCAGCTTAACATCTGCTGTGTGACAAAAAAATAGAAAAAATGAGCGTAACTGTAATTTATCAGAAGACCATTGTTATCTTGTGCCATGATCCGCTGCTCTAAAGAAATTGCATCCTTTTCCCCTCCTTTCCCTTCACGTTTTTACACAGAATGAGATATCAGGTCACAGAGAAGCAGTTGCCCATCCACTGTATTTCTGCTGCACTGAGGAACTCTGTGAAACTGAGTATTTGTCCTCTGGTGTGCTGTAATGCTTGAATATGTGATGAGTAAAAGTAGAGGCCAAAGCTCATTTCAAAGACAAAATGAGATTTGTTATACTTGGCCTATAATGTCTTAGAGGAAAAACTTTGCTGTTCTGTGAGATGAGATATTAATGATGATGAATTGTGTGTATCCAGCATATAGCTATGAATTCAGAAGGATCCTAATCTAGAGCCCTTTGGAGTCTGATTAGAAACCTGGAAGCTGAGAAGTCCTGTAGATTTACAGCAGGATTGTCAAACTCCTAACACAGGAACATTAAAAACCAGAAGATCATTACAATTTTGGTTTAAAACAAGTAAATGCAAAACTTGCCAGCTTGTGTGATGCAATACAATCAATTTCAGGCAGTCCCAGCCTGAACCACAGTATCCAACAATTCAAAATGGGGAGAAACTCCTTCCTCAGTCAGGAGTTCCAGAAGGAGAGTCGGCAGAGATGAAATAAAGGGCAGTTGAAATTTATATTGAAAATACAATTTTTTTTTTTCAATTTATAGTTGAAAGGTATGAAATTGCTATACAGTTTGGGAAGCTGCATCACTCTTTGTTAGTCTGGCACCTCACCACACATAGATTGGCTAAATCCCACCTTGCAGCAAAGGGTGCCATCTGAGCTGCATAGGCAACATAGTTTAATGTTGATGTTTTCCAGAGCTGAGGCTGTAATTGATGAGAAAAGTCCTATGGATTGTTTTCATCAACAGAAAACTGAAGAAGACCCCATGCCATCTTTCAGGCAGAAAACCCAACATAATGCAGTGTCCCCCTGTATAACACACTGAGCTACCGCTGAGATTGCAACTTTTGAAAGACAGGCAAAATCATCAGTGTCTGCAGTGTGTTATTAAAGGCTAATTTCAGACATTTTATGCTTCTTGTATTTATTTCTAGTTGCTTGTGGAATAATTCTTAAAGGCTCTTTGAAGTGGGATGTGCTGGAAGCAGACACTGGAGCAGGGTGGGAGGCAGAGGAGAGCTTCCCAGCAGGACTTCCGCAGCATGTGGAGGGCTGCATTTGAAGCAGAAATGCCAATGAAGGAGGCAGGTGTGAAGGGAAAACCAGGGTGAAAGCTCTTCTGTAAATCCTTTGGAAAAAGGCTTCTTTGGGAGTTGGTGTGAAGAAGAATCGTGGCAGCAGATGGATTGCAAATGGTCAGGATGCCCAGTGTGGCACCACAAAACATTGCACCGATGGCTTAAGGAGGCACACACAGCGCCTGGACTTCTAACTTGCTTTTTATCAAAGGTGGCATAAGGCAAAGAGATGTGAGGATATAGGCATAGCTAAGTGTCTTTTTACTTTTAAAGGGGTATTGTTTGTGATTAATCAGTGTTTTCTGCCTTATAGGCCTGCCTCGTCCCCTCAGCTCTCACACGATGATACTCATTCACGCATTGAACATTATGCTAGCAGGTATGAGACCAGCTGGACATTAGGCAGATCTTTCTCTAAAATTACTTTAAAAAGAAAAAAAGAAGAGCTAGAGGCTACCTGAGCACTTCTTAAAGAAACATAAAATTTGGGGTTTTGCTTTACAGGCTCTGGGATGCAAGAGCATCGTCTGTGGTTGCTGCTAACCAGCCCATCCTAACTTGCCTATCAGAGAACCTTTGTGGTCAGAATTGATCTTTAGGTCCCTTGGGGTTCTCATTAAGCTGTACATTCAGTTACTGATATTTTAATATCAGGATCTGTGATGATAGAACAAGAGGTAGTATTTTAAATGGAAAGAGGACAAATTCAGACTAGATGTAAGGAAGGAATTTTTGCAGTGAGGATGATGAAGCACTGGGAACAGGTTGCCCACAGAGGTGGTAGATGCCCCATCCCTGAAAACATTTAAAGTCAGACTGCACAGGGCTCTGAGCCACCCGTTTGAGTGGAAGATGTCCCTGCTTAGTGCAGGGGGTTGGACTGGAGGCCTTTAAAAGCCCCTTCCAACCCAAACCCATTTTTGATTCTGCATAGGGTTTAGTTTTTAATATGGATCCTGATATAACAGTACAAATGAGAAGAGCAGAAACCTCCAAACTGTCATATAAATCTCAGGTGTCATTATAATACTAACTCACCTCATGAAATACCACAAACAGGATTTTTTCTTGATTTGGAGGATTAAAGTAGTTATATATCACTGCTTTAGTTAAATTCTCTGCTTTCATACTGCTCCTAAGAATCAACAAGTGGATTATTTGTGCAAATAAGAAAATGTTTTTCCACCAAGAAAGTAAATTTTCAAGGACTGAGGTAGTGAAAAATAGTTATTCTGGCCTCTCTCTCCTCCAGTATCACTTGATCAGGAGAGGTGTTTCTGAATTATGCAGGACGTTTAGGAGGGGCTGAGTGTGAAAACTGATGAGAAATGACTGATCGTTACAGTTTTGACAATGATATTGCCAGGTACAAAGCAATTTGTGTAATCCCCTGGCATCTTAAGGCTTTTCTTTGATTTTGGAATTAATTAACGAAGAGAAATTGGAATAGAACCTCAGAGAAAGAGCTGAAAACTTAGCAGTGAGTTTAGCCAGGCCATTGTAACAATCTTTTGTGATAGCTTATTGCAAAACCTTTTGGTAATAAGCAGCGAGTGTAAATTAATTTGAGTTTCAAATTCATCAGAAACATCACGCTCTTTAATTCTTTCCAGAATGTTAGAACAAACAAAGTTTTTGAAAAACATAATTGGTTTTAATGAGTCTTGGTTTTTTTCCACAGGCTAGCAGAAATGGAGAACACCAATGGTTCTTACCTAAATGACAGTATTTCACCAAATGAGAGCATGTAAGTAGGCTGTTTTCATGGTTTTGACATGTATTTTCTAGGGAAGATTAATAACTTGTAATGAAATTTTCTAGAGCTGAATTTGCATGGCCATGTATCACATCTGGTTCAATTTAATCATGTGCTCGTGTCCTTTAAATTTGTATCATAGTGTCTGGATCAATGGTTTATAGCTTAATACCAAATTTATAGAACAAATGATTGATACCTTCAAAATTAAAACCACTAATTTATTTCCAAAAATTACTGATGTATTCAGCAAATAATTTCCATATTCAGAATATGGTCATCATCTGATGAGTTCTAAGGACAAAGATTCAAAAATCCCCCTTCTATCTTACTGCAAGCTTAATCATGGTAAAATTGCTGTAAGCTAGAAAATGGTGGTGTTGGAAAAGTGTCATACAAAACATAAGTGAGGCTAAACAGAAACCTTTGGTCTATAAATACCTGAAATACATTGCAAGAGTAAGCCAGGAGGGACTGATCATCATGTGAGATACTAGCAGTAGTAAACTCTAAGTTGGACAGATCAATGACAAGCATTCATTTTACTACTTTAAATGCAGAGTTATAAATAAAAGTTCTGATTTTTAAGTAGTTAAATCTGATATCTCACTAAAGCCCTTTGTGGTTCTCCTTTGATAATATTCTTGGTCTTGTTTATTCTCTGAATAAAAGGACATAGAACTAATTGTGTATAATGTTTCTGAAGACAGCACAGAAGCAGCTATGTCATGGATGTGTTTGAAAATTTGATCTTGGTTCATTAACTGTGTAGGGGAAGCCATAGCATGGATTCTAAATCAATCAGATATGAAAATCTCAACTTCTCTAAAAATGTTTTTAACTATTCTAAATGATCTCATCTTTATCACAGTTTAAGGGATGTGTTTTTTTGAAAATTCAGTCAATTAAATTTTTAGCAGTCCTTTACAACACAGAATTCTGGCCAATTTTCATTCATTTAAATTGAGATTCCAAATGAATAGCATTTTATGGGGTTGACTGAGACTGTGAGCTCATGATGTTCTTAGATAGTGTTAAAACTGTTTCTTTGATTCAAAATAGTTTCTCTTCTGACTTGGAAGGACTGTTGCCTACAATTGTTGCCTTTGAAAGAAAAACCCCTGTAGAACCAAGAACATTCGTTTAATATATTGGTAAAAGGGAAAAGTTAAAATGTCACCTCAAAACTAATATAGATGCAATGTCAGTATAGTTTCTTGTAATTAATGAAAACTTTAAACTTTGTTTCCAAGTAGTACGTTCATTTGGTATTATTATGGATAGTAGTAATGCTCTAATGGATGGAATTCTGTGTTGTCCCACTGAAATATTTCAGTGTCCTTGTCACAGAAATAATGCATATACTGTATCTTTTGTATTACACCTTTATTTTACTGTTCAGTTCATTTTTTGATCAATTGGAATTTGTATTGTCATGATTCAATTAGTAAGTTAGGGATCTACTTTGTTCCTCAGTTTGTACTATTAAAATGAGAATAGAACTGTGCATTTTGAATTTTGGAAGAAATATTATCCAGATGGATACAAATTGCAGCAAAATCAAAGCTTACCATGAATTCAGAACTGTAATTACTTCAGTTTTGCTTGTCAGATTATTCTTAAGTATAAACTTGCAGGGTTTGGATTATTTGGCTGATCAGTACAGGTAGAGTGATAGATGGAAACAAAGAAGGCAGGAAATAAAAACATAATATATATATATTTATATATCAAAAAATGTTTCATTATGTAGTGTCACAGCAATGATATATAAAATATCTGCGCAGGCTGAAAATCACACAAAAAGAGTATGCTTGTGAAGTGACATTATACTGCAATAGTTATCTCACTTGTTCACTGTTAATTCACTTAACACCCATAAGAGTATTTATAAATGCAAAGCACTGGTTTGAAGGAAGTCATAGTGTTCCATGAAAAGTATAAATTTAGGAACTGGCAAGCCTCTCCTTTTGTGAAAAATTAATAATTCTCTTTTATGAACTAATGTTAATGTGCTCTACATTGCTTTGGCTCTCCTGCAGTCATAAAATTGCATCATTAACATTTTCAGGAACAAAATGAAAACAAGGAAAATTATAATTTTTGAACAATAACAGCTGTTCAAAATGCCTGTTAAATTCTGGTTTAGAAGCATAACAGGAAAAAACCCTAGACTGACTAGACTGAATTATTTTGTTCTATGCGATCTCCAGCAGCAGTGTCATTTTTATTGACCTTGTCTTACGGTGTCAAGGGAGACCTTTCATGGTTTCTCAGTGACTGCTTGTGTAAGTTGCATTGCTTAGGGCTTGGATTCATCTCCTTAGCACCTAAACCACACTTAAAACAATCTGTGTAGTTCTGGGAGGTGATCAAGGTCTTCAGAATTGTATTTCCTGTTCTCTTCTAGAGATATTTCTGTTTCAGTTGCCAGACAGCTTCAGGGGCAATAGAAATAGAGAAGGGGATCATATGTATTAAACAGAATATATTTGTATTCTAACAGTGTACATCACTTTTAAATTTTAAAAAAGTCAAACATATGAGTGGACGATAACATACTTCCATTATATTAGTTCAGGGTGGTTTTTTTTTTGTTTACCTAATTTAGAATGTTATGGAGAAAAAAAAAAGATAAATAAAACACACACTTATTACATAAGGAGAGGTGGTAGGTACAAGAATAAATGCATTGGCCTTGCTTGAATGACCCTTCCACAATGCAGCTCAGACAGCAGAAGATTGTTTTCTTTTTGCAAGTAAATTCCTAGTTGAAGTTTGTCGGGAGAGCTGAAGTTGTCAGCTGTTGCAAAACTTGGCTTTAAGTATCTGAGAAGCAGAGAAGGAGGGAGGTGGTCTCTGCAGAGAAGGAAAATTACCAGAGACTCAGTGAAACAGGTCAGCAGATTTTGCTTTAAGGTGCTCTGCTGTTGGTTACAAAGAGTTCAGCAAATCTCTTTGTAAGAAATGAGAGACTGGGAGTGACTCATCTCCTCGTATTCACTGTGAGGTTGAAAAGAAGGAAGGGAACAGCCTGTTTTATCCTCCTGTGTTTTCCAGCGATGATGAACACTTGTTAATCCAGCACTACTGCCAAAGTCTGAACCAGGAGTCCCCCCTGAGCCAGCCCCGAAGCCCTGCCCAGATCCTGATTTCTCTGGAGAGTGAGGAAAGAGGGGAACTGGAGAGAATCCTCGCAGACCTGGAGGAGGAAAACAGGTGGGTTATACCACCAGCTGAATTTGAAGTAAAAAGACTGCAAAATAATTATACTGTACAGTTAGATGGAATTCAGTTTGGTAAAATTTTTTGGGGATAAAATGAGTTATAAAACTGCATTTTCTTCAGACAAATGAGTAATTTCATAGAGGGTAAAGGCTGAGTCCTCTTAACTTTCTCTTTCTTTGTTGTTGCTTGTTGCCATTTCTTTAGTCTTCCAATACAAAGTATCATTTACCATTTCTAACTTCACATTTAATTGAAGTTATCTTTATTAATCACCATAAAAAAAAAACCCAACTGGATACTTAAAGCATCACATCACTGCAGTCCTCTTTATACTCTGTAATCTTGGGCAAGCAGCACAAAAACCAGAAGATGTTGACCCTGGAAGATTGGTAATTACAACTGTGAATTACCAAAACCAGACTGTAAGATATAGATCATTTAGTTCTACCAAAAAAGCACGGGTTTGTGTGCCTTTTTCTATCGTCAGCTTTTATAGTGCAGTCTATTGGCATTTTCATAGTCTTTTTTTTCTTGCTTCTGTAAGAGCTAGGTGCTTCTTACATTGGGGATTTAATGCACTAATCATTTACTTTGGGCTTGTCAAGGAAATAATGCAAGAGTCGGCAGTGTCATAGATCTTCTCTCCATGTATGTCTTCTTTGAATGGTGCTAATCAATTACAGTGGCTCCATCAGAGACTTGTTATCAGGAGGGCTTGGGAGAATGGAGAAGATGTAGGAAGATGTTTCACACAGAAAGCTGTAGTAAACAAAGCTCTTGCTCAACTGAACAGCAGAGAGATTTTGTTTGAAACAAACCACAACTTCCTACTGCATACCACATAAAGCCCAAGTACTTTCCATAGTGGAGAAAAATCAGTATTTTGAAATAAGACATTATACTTAGCATGTTCAGGACTGTAGCAAAGAAATATCTAGTAGCTAATACAGATAAGATAGCCTCGTTTTCAGGAGATGGATGTTATTTTTTTGAACAGCATTGTGTAGTGAATCATGGAAGAAGGGGAAAAAATCATAATGCTTTTCTCTCTGTATACAAAATAAGCTGCCTAGCAGAATGGAGGGTGACTTTTAAAGCAGACTAGTTTTAGATTAGAAAGGTAGTATATAAAAACTAGTACAATATGGAGCTAGATAGGGAAATAAGCCAAAAAGCCCTTTGGGAGTTCATGCCTTAAATACCTGCATGGGCTTTATTGAATATAGCTGTTACTGATAAAGGATGTAAAAGATCTCTGGCAGGAATTGCACCTTAAAAATATCAGGTTGGAAGTTTGCCAATCCTGGATTAAACTAGAGCTGTAGTCTGTGGAGGTTGGTTGTACTACTGGAGGCACCAGTAAAGGATGGGATGCCACCACCGGCAGCCTTGCCTTTTGTGGGTGCTCAACACAGCAGGCACAGAGAGCTCTGTCTCTCTCTCACAGCATGGAGGTCACACTGCTCTGATTTTCATTGATTATGACAAAATAATTGCTTTTGTCTCTGCCTTCCACTACAAATAACTTGTGCTTAAAATGTGAGATACTTGCTGAAAAGTGAACAAGTTCTTGTTGTCCTGGTTGCTTGTCACAGACAGATAGCCATGATTTTATGGATGATACACTGATTCCTGTTTAGAAAAATAAGCTCTTCAGACAGGATCAGTCAGGAGGCATTCATGTAACTTACCTACTTTTGAAAACAGTCTTATCCCTTTCAATTTCTATTTCCTAGTTCTCCTCCACCAAGTTTGCACAAACTTTTCTTGGCTGTTGCCAAAGGTAATCAGCAACCTAACACCTTATTCCTTTTGTGAACCTGGTTCCAGTGGGTGAGCATGTCTTCCTTCCCATGCATATCCTAAAACATCCTCCATGTAAACTTGTTACTGCCTCAGATGAAGCCATTCCTTTGTTCCCGGGGTGCATCTCCTTGCCGCTGCTGAGCTGGATGTGGAGCCCTGTCCTGCCTGTGTCGACACAGCTCCTGGTGCAAACACTTGTGATAACTTCTGAAAACTCAGGTTTAGCTCTCTCTGCTGTGTCTTGTACACTTTTACAGTAAGAGTCAGGGCACATTCAGTCACTTCTCAGCAACTCCCAGGAAAGCAGCCACAAGTGATGCCTCAAGTATTAAGTACCAAGAAGAAGCAGTGCTGTGATGCTGGGAGCACCTCATTGTCATTTCTCTTTTTCTTCTGCTCTCCACAGTTTCCTGCTTTTCAAAAAAGCCCTTTTCTCTTTTGCTTTGTCTCTTTTGAGCTGTTGATTGAATTCTGACCTCCATTTGAGTTTCAGCTGCAGTTTCTGGCCCTCCAAATATTTCCATCTTGACTTATTACTTATATAAAAAACACTCTTTGAAATTGTAATTCTAAGGTTTTGCTTTTGGACAGTTTAAAAGCTCTGTTGCCTATTTTGAATTCTTCTGAAATGCATTCTCTAACTTACAAACTAACCTAGCTGTGACGTGGTTCTGGCTGGGGTTTTGTCAGTTCCAAGGACCTCTTGTTAGATATTCATTATTTATCTGCTAGCATTTTAAGACCTTGGTGCTTCTGTAGCTTGTAAGTATGACTTCCTTAAATAATATATGGCTAAGATTTGACTGCTAAATAATTTATATTTGTTAAAATGTGGGCATTTTAGAGAATATTTTCAATGGCTGAAAATGTTTTATTTGAGTTTTAGGTCTTCAGGCTTATGCTGAGTTTTGCATCACATGGAATATTGTGATAAGACCATTTCTGTATTCAATAGAAAAAAAGCAATCTTGCTATTGAAGGCATTATTACTGTATTGCAATATAAAAGAAAAATGCAATTATAAAACCCTCTCAAACACTATTTCCTCAAGAGTGAATGTATTTCAGGGAGAGCAAAGACAAGTTTTTGTTGTCCATCTAAAGGCAATAAATTACATAGGTTACACAATAGGATAGGTAATAGTGACCAGGATGTACTGTAGTGGCATTAAATAGAAAGCATGTAGTTCTGCAGTGACAGAGTCAAAACTTTTTGCAAAGAATTCAAATACCTTCCTGCTATTTTAATGAGCCAGGAAAGTGGATGCTTGCTAGTATTTTAGTTGAACTGAGGTCTTGGATGTAAGAGGGAGGCTTCTCTCATGTTCTCTCCTCTTCTTCCCAGCTCTGAGCTGTCCTGCAACAAGAACCAAATAAATGAGATCTCCAGCCAGAGCTATTTGCCATTCCTTTGCTTTTCCTGACTTGCAGTGGGAGTGCAGTGGGCTGTGTGCCACCATAGAAAGCACTGACACCCTGAATCTCAAAGCTGCCCTGTTTCGGTGTTTCTTCAAATCTGAAGAATGATGAATGGCCTCCTCACATAAGGTCCTTCTGTATAGTAACCAACAGCAAGAAAGTGATGCATTTCTAAACATGCTGTGGCTCCTTTTGGTATTTGTTTTGGCATTGAAGAAGGGGAACTAGATTCTTCTGAGTGTGAATCCTGAGTAAACACGGTCACTCTAGTGGGGGACAGGGGGTAGGTAGTTCAGCTACCATCTTTGTCTGTTTCTTCATACCACTGATTTTCTGTGGAGAGATGAGAAATAACATGAATTCACAAATTCTCAATTGCCTTTGAGAGGACTACTCAGCAGACAGAGTCCACTAAGATTTCTGTCACCAGGCAATTAATGCTGCAAGTGATAGATGTGATTAATAATTCATGAGCTCTTTACTACTCAGCTCTGTACAGCTGCATAAATCAAGGTTACACCGCATGCTTCCTATGTTACTTTTCTTCACAAATGCCTCAAAGAGTTGCAAGCATTGTAAATGGAATATATGGGGTTTTTTGAATATTCTCTTACTGAAGAAGGGTTCATTTTCCCAGTGATGAATACATGCAGCAAAACAAATTGTTTGTTTGTGACAGCCAGATATCAAAGTCACCCAGCCTGAGCTGTGGTGGAGGAAGGTGAGGTTTCCATGTACTGCCTATGCTTGTTCACTTGCATTCATTTGGAGGGGAGCATGTTTGTGTCCCCCCTTTCTCTTATGTCCCATTTTAAGGAGAAAGTGTCAGAGTGCCCCTCCTCAGAACCCTGAGGGCTGTGGGCAGTGTCTTGGGTGCCTGGATCATAGCAGCACTCCTTTTCACCACACAGCTTAAAACTGTTCCAGGGGAAAGAATAAGAGCCTTTTGTTCTCTCTTAGGATATTCTTACAGCAGTTTTCAAATTCTTTCCTTCTTTTTTAATTTTCAGCTTTTTTCCCTTGTGTTAATACACCTCTTCATTGCTATATGTTTAGATCCCAGTTATGATATTATTGATTGTGTGCACTGCACATCACTCTTACAGCTCTGAAGCTACAATGAATCTCAGTTCTCTGGATGGAGGACTGTGCAGCTGGACTGAAAAGGTGCTGCTAGAAAACTCAGTAACACAGGTGCACTGGGAAAACCCACATGCATCCTTCAAAATTACATTCCTTTGTTCCAACAGTATTACACTATTTAATTACAGAACTCCCAACAAGACTCTGGTTGGAAAATAAGCAATATCTTTTACATGATTTTTTTTTTTCTATGAACTTTCAGAAAGATTTTTTAAATTTTTTTTTTTATATTTTTTTATCATACATGACAGGGTGTTAATCTGAATTGCTTCCTGGTCCTTTCTTGTATTTTAGTACCACCATTACTGGAAGGACTTCTCTATATTGATAGAGGTGATAATTGTAGATTTCTTTGTAGCAAGGTATCTGATAATATCATTAGTATGACCAAGTGCATTTATTTAGTTTCCCTTAGGGTGGTGTTTTATCCTTTGCTTTACAGCACTACAAACTTGAGAGTGTGCTGTTTGTAGAGTATTGCTTGTATTGTGCATCTGGGCAGTTCCTCATGGGGTGGTGATAGCCACTATCTACGGCAGGCTTCATGATCATTCCTGTACCAGCTTTAGTCAGCAATAACACCACGTGTGATGAACATGCTGTCATGTTCATTACTATTCCCTTTTGTGTTTGTATTAATTATTCACCAGTTTGTTCAGCTAGAAGTATCAGAAGACATAAAGTCAGGCAGAAGACATAACTTACGTGACAATATCTATTCCCAGTATAGATAGCCCTGTTTTTTTCTAGATAATTTTCATGAACTTGAAACTGTATTTCATTAAAACAAAAAAACTTCTTTGGAAAAAAGAACAAACAACTCTCTAGAGTTGTCCCTCTTTGTGTGGGTTTTAAGGAAAGAAATCTTGAATTTTGGAACAGCCTGAAGTTAAAAATTATTAGCCCATGTTTTTTAATAATTTAAAATTTCTGAAGAGGATGGATCATGTAGGTCAGACATCCCTTAAAGATTGTGTTGGGAGGGTGCCATAGTCCCAGGTTAGGACATGTCCATCATGCAGCTGCTGAGGAGCACAGGGACCTTTGAGGAACAGTCAGTGGCTTGTCTTTGTCCTTGGCATTGCTTTTTCACCTGTGTGAAATGACGAGTCCTGCTTTAGTTCTGGTTACAATAATGCTCTTTTAGAAGTGTTTTTTTTGGGAGGTTTCCAAGGTGCTGTTAAGCTTCCAGACCAAACTGTCAGGGTGTGTTGTGGTGTGCAGGCAAAACTGGCAAAAGGTGTCTGTTCTCACAACCTCAAATAAGAGCGAGTTGGAAAAAGTAAAATCTGGGTCAGTGCTTGTGATGAGTAAGCAGTTACCAGTGTCGAGCTGTTTTCCCCCCTCTGGGAAACTGTAAAAGAACATCACAGCAACAAAATCCCAGTGCAGTTTGTTAGGCCTCCCTTGCCTATGAAGTTTCTGTTACAAGTTACTATTTTTGCAGTTTTGGATTGTTATGTTTAACAAGGTTTTAGTTTCCTACCTTCTGTGCTTCCCCTGCTTATGTGCTTTCCCTGCTTGGTAGATTTATTTTTTTTTCATGTGGAACACAATAGATCATAATATTCTATGGAATGTTTCAATGAAGTAAAATTGGAGTTTTATGAAATAAAAGAACAAGCTTAGCAGTGCCATAAAGTTGCAGTAGACAGTAGCACTTCAGGCAGGACAGAGGTGGAAATTACAGCCCCAAAAGTCAGTGCAGTTCAGTTTAACAGACTGGGTCGCTAATTCTCATCTTCAGTTGATAATTTTAGCCCTAGGCTGGAAGTGCATTTGCAGATCTGAAGAGAGCAGAGTGATATGACCTGACTGACAGCCAAGTTCTGTGTTTTCCTCTGACTTTTTGTGTGGCTGCCCCTCTGAGGTTTCTCATCTGTGAAACAGATCAGCCAGCCAGGTGGCACCCACTTTGGTTTAGTGTTTGTGAGGTGCTGTGATTACTCTGAGTCCTCCTTTAGCACTAATGCCTCCTCAGGTGTAGCCATGTGTGGAAGGGAACTGGCAGTCCCACGTCTGCTGGGAAGGATAACGCGCAGGAAGCTGAGGGAAGGCTGAGCCCAAGATTAGGCATCACCAGAAATTTAGGCAGATTAAATCACAGATCCATCTAATCCAGACCGTGCGGATCTGCAGGGAGTAAACCCACAGGTGATGGCTTCAGGACAGGGAAAGGCAGTTGGTGCAGGTGAGCCCTAAGAAGTGAGACACATCACAGCACACCATAGGAGGTGTCTGGTCACTGCCCCTTGCAGAGGCCATAAAGCTTTTTCCCCCTTGTCACTTGCCAACAGGAACCTGCAGGCAGAGTACGACCGCTTGAAGCAGCAGCATGAGCACAAGGGTCTGTCTCCACTGCCGTCCCCGCCGGAGATGATGCCGGTTTCCCCGCAGAGCCCCCGGGATGCTGAGCTCATTGCAGAGGCCAAGCTGCTTCGCCAGCACAAGGGCCGCCTGGAAGCCAGGATGCAGATCCTGGAGGATCACAACAAACAGCTGGAATCGCAGCTGCACAGGCTGAGGCAGCTGCTGGAGCAGGTGAGTCCTCAGGCATTTCTTCTAGGTCTCTGAAGAGTAATTTTCCAAACAGGGTGTGAAGCGTTATCAATAACAAGAACATACCAAGAAATCATATCTGTAGAGGCGAGTCAGAGAAAGGTACAAAATTGTTTTACAGGCTGCAAGTGAGAATGTGGAATCAGGTTTCAGTGTTCTCATTTAGTTTTCTTGCTTGTTTTATTCAGAATTAAAATGCACTGGTTGCGTGGATGAGTTTACTTAAAAACAGACTGAAAATTGTGTGTATTCATGGAATAAATAAAAATTAGAGATATAAAGTAGTGAGCTGTTAATAGCAATGTCTTACTTTTTTCTTTAATTTCAGCCACAGGCAGATGCCAAGGTGAATGGTACGACACTGTCATCTCCTTCTACCTCTTTGCAGAGGTCAGGCAGCAGTCAGCCAATGCTTCTTCGTGTAGTTGGCAGCCAGACTTCGGAAACCATGGGTAAGATAATGAAGCTTAGGTTGTCACAAAAAATTATTATGTCCCATTTTCCAGAAAAAAAATCCTTAAAGACAGAAAACACTTTTCCATTTAGTTCAAATGAAATGAAGTAGATGTTTGCAATGATCTTCAATGTTATCTGGCTTTTTACACTTTGCATCTTCACTATGATTCAGGCTTTGCTTTTGATTGTGGTGCACACAGTAGCTTGGGTATTTTGATATTAAACACAAAACACAGCCAGGGCTTGACTGCTGAAAACAAATGCTGCTGAAAAGCTAACTATTCTGTTCAATCTGACTTTCAGTTATTAAGCATGACATGACTGATTTAAATGTACATAATATTAATTATGGCTAAGAGACTAAATGTATGATTAGTCATCCCCACATTAAATGATGTGATCTTATTTTTAATACGTTGTGGCTCAATCAGTAGGATGGAGCTGTCACTCACAGGCAGTGCTCATCTAGTGGCTTTTCTAAGTATCACATCAGATGTGATAATGAACATCATAAGAGCTGTGGAGTAAGGTTAAATAATAATATTCTGTAGCTGGAGGTTGGAATTATTATTTTGGTGCTTTTAGTAACTGCTATGTGGTACTTTGCAAATTTCCTGTCTGTTACATAATTAGTAAGTATTTATTACCAAGTGGCAAGGATTTTCAGCTAGTAAAAAAGCAATTAATCTTTTCAGCATCTTTAAGCAAATGCACTTATATTAGTTCAACAAGATGATGTTTCAAGTCTGATGATAATATTCAGCTTCATACAGAGAAATTTATTTTATGTATATTAGTGAGAGGCTTAAGTGAGAGCTTTTCTTTCCACTGCTGTTAGTGACAGTGACAATGAGAGTGAGAAATTTAATGGGAGGGCACATTCTGCTGTGTCTGAAGTGCTGTTGTGGTGGGAAATGCAGCTTTTGGGGGGACTTTTTCTGCCATTCCAAGTGTAAGCAATAATTTCAGCCTATGACAGTATCAAACAAGATGGGTTCTGTGCAATCTGCCATAAAAAATGTGAAATAAATAGTACCTTTAGAAATGCTGAAGTTGAAATCCTGTGAGTGAAAGTACAATCACAGGTAACAGGAATTTATGGAAAAAATAAAAATGGACTTTTCATTAAACATGTTACCAGTGGGGAAATATTTTGCTATGTATGCTATACACAGAGTAGATAAAATGTATTAGTAGTGGTGTAATCTGCATCAGTTTTCTAGAGAAATTCCATTAATTTCATCACATAAAATACATTAATTAAAATACAATTAAAAGAAAAGATAGGAGGACAGTACTTCCCAGTATTTCTTGTAGTTTTATATTTTATATTTCATTCTTTAGTGGGACAAAATAACAAAAATTTACTTCTCATTTAAATAATATAAAATTACTCCCATTTACCTCACGAGACTGGAATGAATTGCTTAACACAATAGAGTCATATAAGCTGCTAAAAGTTTTTAAAGCAAATGTTTAGACATAAGTTGATTTTATTTGATTGGTTTGATTGAGCCAGTATGTGGGAGGACAGCGAGCTGTTATCAGTGGGATCGTACTGAGACTCAGCAGAGCCACACTGTTGGCAGCAGGGAGTGGAGCTTATAAAAAGAATTACTAACTGGGCTAACAAACCACAACTAATTCAGTTTGTCACGTGTCCTTTCACACCAGAAAGCTTTGCTTGCTAGGCTCAGGGTTTTCTGAAGCACAGGTTAAAATATTCTTGAATTGTGAGAACCAGAGTGGTGTTGTAAATAATGCTCCCATGCAGCAACCATGTGCCCAGGAATGAGGGAGCTATGATTTTTGAGAAAATACTGAGGATCTCTAGGTGTCTCAGGCAATGAGGCAAGGTAGTGATAGCTTTTATATGTTCTTCTCTTTAAAATTAGACCTTTGTTGTTTTTTCACTTGAAAACCCACTGCACTTTTGTCTTTCTGCTTTCCCAAGGAGAGATTTCTATGAAAGGTGTTTCACCAGTAGTGCTTTGGTAAAATCAGTGACCCACTCAAACCCTCATTTACAAATTGAACTTATTCCTTGTTAACTTGAAGGACACCTGGGCAAGTGGAAAAGTTCTGCCTTTCTCCTCATGGAGTCCCAGTGGGCAAGTCCTTATCCTTGGCCTTTTTCACCCTGGCAGAGTACAAGCTGAGGAGGTTGTATGAGGCAAGAGTCAAGGTTACAAGTGCTCAGAAAAAAATCATCCAAATGAGGAAAAAATGTAAAATCATTTTAATGTATTATTAATTTATTATTTAATTTAAAAATCATTTTGAATAAAAAATACAACATTTTTGGAGTGTCAGCAGTTGAGCTCGTATCAGCACTTAGGAGGACATTTGGAAATTGGTACTTCATAAATTGGAAATTTGGAAATTCAGGTCTGGACCAAGCCAGCAGAACCACTGCCCTTTCATTGTGACCTTTAAGGCCAGGAGGCTTTCTTCAGGCTGATAAAATTCTCAGCCTGGGTAGAAGCAGCGAGATTCCTCTCTGAGTTTTCACCTTGACGTTCAGCAAGGGCTGCAAGGACATTGCTTTTGCTGAGACACCTCTGTCAGTGCAATGCCTGATGTGAAAGTAACTCATGGTGTGAGTTGATTTGTGTGAACCCAGCGCCACTCGAAAGCCGAACACGCTGCAAGCAGCCTCAGCAACTATTTTTAGACAGTTAATGGAATAAAAGAAGCTGATACAAAGACCATCATTTATATGAATTAAGTGCTTCTTGCAGACACTCTATCCCACTTCTTGTGCTGGAGTGGGAGGAATCACTCTTGGTCAGAAATAACTCTTGTTAAACTCCTGGCTTAAATCTAGGTAGCCCTGAAATACTCCTTTCATATCCCTTTTTCTAGGTTTTTCACTAGCATGGAGCACCTCAACGTTTAACAAATGTAAATGTTAACAGAAAATCAGACAGTTTTCTACTCAAACAGGGCAAGACATGTTAGAGTAAAGGATCATTAAGTCATTTTCAGAAGAAGTGTGTAACTCAGTTATTACAGCAGGCAAAATTGCTTTTGTGTTCTACTAGAGATAAAAGACATCTAGTAAAAAAGGAGAATCTCACTCAAAGTATATCCTTTATGTGTATTCTTTTCCCAGATGCTTATTTATATTGGAGGCTAGGATCTGCATTAAAAACAACATATGGATTTTAGTTATATGAAACCATAAGCAAAAAAAAAATCCAGTAAAAATAAAATGTATTGAATTTCCCATTAAGCCACTGCCCTATAATCAGGTTATAGAAATTATTCAGTGGGAGAAATGTATTTTGCTTTATTAAACTGCTGCTAAACCCTTTTACAGTACAATTGAGTGTTCTTGGAGCGCCAATCTGATGCAATTAAACTGTCAGAAATATTAATACTGATGCAGATGAGAATCTGGGTTTCTACTCATTTGCACAGCTAGGCAAAGCAGTGCCAACATGAACCCAGCACTATTAGAAAGCTGCTCAACAGCAGCACTCACAACAGCAATTTCTTTTTCCATTAATAGAATAAGAGAAGCTGAAACGACAAGTGTCATTTATGGAACTAGATGTTCCTAACAGACATTTTACCCTACTTCTTTTACCAGAGTAAATTATTTCTTAAATCCCTTTTTGCAAATTAAAATAGTGTTGATTGTCTCAAAATCCTCATTTAATTTTCCTTAGAGCCTTATAAAGAAAGACAACTGTAACAGTCAACAAAATTCACCTTTGAAATTTTTATTGTACACTAAGCAGAAAATGTGTCTGAGTGAACAGCCCTAGCTTTGGGGAGGAGTTGGGCAATAAAACTGTTAGCACAGGCTCTCATGCAGAGGTGTGGATTTGCCTTGCAGGTGAGGATGAGCTGCTCAGCCCTCCCCAGGACACAAGCACAGGTTTGGAGGAAGTGATGGAGCAGCTCAACAACTCCTTCCCCAGCTCCAGAGGTGAGCGCTGCTGCCTGTGGCAGATGAGAGGGAAGAAGATAAAAGTGTTTTCTGTTCCTTGATGTTTTCAGGGGGTTGTATTTTGGTATCAGGCTTTTTGCTGCTCTTTGTTTTCATTTTAACAATAGCTGTAGAGAAACCTGTCTTGTTTAGAGTGGAGGAGCAGCCTGTTCCTCCTTACCTTAAGCTACCTCCACAGGTAGTCCTTGCTAGATATGTGGATGAAACAATGTCTTTGTGAGACTCTTTCTTCCCCAAGCATTTTCTTTGCTTCCTTTTGCCTTGTTTCTTTTTTCACAGCTTTCCTTCTTTTCAGTTGATGCCCTTGTTGATTTATTTTCTTAATATATGTCTTAGCACATTTTCTTTCTGTCCTTATGCTTCTCCAAGACTGTGGTTTGAAATAATATTAGAGTTCAAAGTCAAAATTCTCAACCATGTAGCCTCTCAGGTCCAGAGGGATGGAGGATGAATGAGTGGGGTGCTTGTTTATGCAGCACAGGCACATAAAGCCACGTGTTCATACAGCCACAGCCTTTCTTTCAGTGTTTCCATTTCTCTCATTCCTGTTGTTTGCTAAAAATAGGCATTTGTATTACCAGGATTTATTTGTCCAACCTTTTTTCATTTATTTTCTGAGCCCAGAAGAAAATACTCTGCTGCCAAGAAAAAATGGCTGAGGTTCCTAGCAGGAGATGGGAAGTTTGGGATATTGGCTGTTGCTGTGAAAAGAGGCTCAGTCATGAACCTTCTTGGCAAGAGAAAGCCTCAGTATTGCCAGCCTGATAAGTGGATTTCAGGGGGCATAGACTTCCTGCAGGGCCCTTGCACAAGTTTCACACATCACCCAGAGATTCTTTAGGAGATAAATGCTTTAACCATTGCACTGAACTTCCAGTGGAGTCGGGTTTTCTCCATCCTTGGCTTTCAAAACAAGTTCAGCTCTCTCCAGAACCCATTTGTGAGCAGTGAGTCAATATAAACTGTATAAGGTCTCATGCTATAGGTCAAAAGATGGAATAATTTAGAAAGATCTCATTGAATAAATTCTAATACAATAAATTTCCAACTGCACTCAGCTCCACCTCAACATTACATAAAAAAGTCATATGTCCAGCCCTCGTTTTGCCTAGATAAATGCTGAGAGACAACAGATGAAAAGTCTTTCTAATATTGTTATGTAGACTAAAATGGACTTCTTTTTAAAGTTGCTGTGTACACAAGGTTACAACAGACAATGTTTTCTTATTAGTGACCATCATTAGTGTAATATGTTGAACGTAGATCTTGCACAGTCACAAGTGTCTAGATGTATGTATCCCATGTGTAAAAATATTTAGCAATTGTGATACCTAATTTGTATTCACAGGTGATGACACTGGCAGTGTTTATTTTTAAAAACAAGCTTAGTTTTCCGTGAAATAGGAGCAATTTATGAAACAAAATTTAATGAGATATTTGAAATAGAGTGGTTCATTTCCTGTGTAGAATAAATAGGTAGAGGTCAGTCTGTTAGACATCACCTTCTGCTCACTGAGAATAGCAAATGTATTTTTATCTTATTAGTGAAAAATAAAAAGCTTCATGAAACAAGCTGAGAATATAAAATTTAGTAGGATAATGAAGTAAAATTGATAAGCTCAGGTAACATTTTAATTTTTTGAATTAAGCTGTAGTTTCAGATTTTCATTCTCGCTGTGCAAAATGTGGTCATTCAGCTAGAGAGAAAGCATGCATTCCCTTATTTTGTTTCTTCATTCAGTAAGTGTGTTGAAAACATAGTGATAATCACAATCATCCACAAAAGGTATTGCAGCTTATGTACTTCCCTGTCTTACTAGCAGCCATGGAGAACAAAAATACTCTGTAGCTGGATGGAGGGATGTGGGAGGGGAGGGGGCACAGCCTTTGGCATGAGTCCCATGAGTCCCCCTCAGCCAAGCCTCGAGAGGAGCTCCTGGTGCAGCAGCCAGGAGCAGGCACAGCCCAGCAGAGCCAGGCTTCCCATGGGACTTTGCTTTTAGGTCTTGGCCAAGGCACTGCCAGGCTGAGCCAGAATCTGCCTCTTCCCCTTTCTTGGGCTACACAAAAAGATTAGTCCAGCTGGGAAGGAAACTTATTTTTTTGGAATTGTACCAGGTTTTGGCTGAAGAGATTAGGACTTCAATTATGTTTCTCTGTTCTGCGTATATCTTCTGATGTATTTGCATGAATGCCAGGTTAGTGTAATTCCTTTTGGCTGAGGTATAGGAATGGTCAGGCTCTCTGTAAGAAATGGTTTGTCCTACAGCCAGTGCAAATGGCTTTCCATTCATTGGTTGGTAGAGGCTGCTGAGAGCTTATGTAAACTTCTGTTACTGAAGTTTTCTTCTATTCCCAATTTAATAATTCAGTTATATTCCAACATCTGATGAGCTGCAGCCTCATGTAGACTTTCAGTGTGACATGAAAGATGCTGTGGCCAGATTCCACAGGCATCAGGGACCTCTGATTTAAAATTTTCAAGGCTGCAGGAAAAAGAAAAGGAGGCAGAGTTGATTGGTCTCAACAAACTACTGAATCAAGAACCTTTTTGCTGTTGAGAGGTGTAATCTGTATCTCAGATTTCTAATCTTTAACAGAAGATCAAAGTGCAGCTGCAGAAGAGTGAGAGCAGTTTGGCAAAGCAGCCTGAGAAGAGGGCATAGTGTTAAGGACTTGGGCGTGGGGCAAGTGAAATTTTGTTTCTTTCCAGTACCAGTTGCATTGAAACTCAGGTTACAGGTGTGAACACCTACCTCAAGTAGGTCTTCAGTAAACAGAAGAATAAACCCAAACAAGCAATAGCATATATCTATAAACAATACTTTTTGTTATATTGATTCTCATTAAGTAGAACTGAAAAATTGTCAGATACCAGAAGTACAGTTGTCCCAGTCTGCCATTCAGAAGTAGGTTGTGATAGAGGAGCTGAGGGAGCTGGGGTTGTTTACCCTGGAGACAAGGAGGCTCGGGGGAGACCTTACCACTCCACAAGTACCTGAAAGGAGGTTGAAGCAAGGTGAAGATTGGTTTGTTCTCCCAAGTGTCAAGGGGTAGGACAAGGTGAAATGGCCTTAAGTTGTGCTAGGAGAGGTTTAAATTGGATATTAGGGAAAATTTCTTCAGGAAGTGGGTTCTCTAGCATCAGAACAGGCTACCCAAGTGTTGAACCAACAGCATGGATGTATTTAAAGGACATGTAGATGTAGTACCTGGGGACTTGGTTGGGTGAGGGGCTCAGCAGTGCTGGGCTAACAGTTTGACTCAATGGTCTTAAAGATCCTTTCCAACCTTCATGATTTTATGAAATAATATTTTCTTTGTGGCCTGTAAAAATAAGCATGTTAGATTTCAAGCTGAATATCAGCATGTCACAGCATAGGGAGTGGCAGGCCTTTTGAATCAGGGACATAATTCTGGGTGTCTTATTGCCATTAGAATAACAACTTGGAGGAGTTCAGGGCTGAACAAGCAGTGAAGAGAGAGAAGGACTGAAATTCTGTGCTTGGCTGCACAGATGTGTAATTGAGCATCACAAACTGATTTAGCCTAAATATTGTCAAAAGCACCTGAAGAGTAAGACTTGCTCAGACTGGGAAATAGTTTACTAAAGCAAGTGGTGGCACTTATTTTGGAGTTCTGAAACAAGGCAGTTAAAAGCAATAGTAATTGTCACTCACCTGGAGATAGATTCCTTAAGATTACATTTTCAAGCTTTTGCAGCACAAAGTTGTTTTTAAGAGGGCATCAAGGCTTCATAGCATCTTTTTGAATGTATTTTAGAGAAGCAAGTGTGAAACAGATTGTATCATAGACCTGCACAAGCAGACCTCAGATGCAGCAACTTATACCTTTTATAGGGTACCATTTCATTTGTTTGTTTCTTTAGTTTAACCTTTTGGCAGTTCTTGGCATTTCCTAAGGAGAACAGGAGTTTCCTGCTCCTTGCACAGCTGGCTGTTGGTGCCAAAAGCTGTTTCATTTCTGGAGAGAGAAATTCTGCTGAATACCTGATGATTTCTGTCCTTAAGGAATTTTTCTTTCCTTTTAATCTAAAAGGTTTCCCATCCACTCCTCTTTTACTTTGCTGCTCCCAGCAAATTCACAACTGCTGCAGCTGCTTCAAACAGCTGCTGTGCTAACTCAAAACAGATGTCAAAGCCAGAGGTCTGACATTTAGTAGAAATCTACCATTAAATGCCACCTCAGTGGTTTATTTGACCCTGCTCAATAATGGGCCACAGAGGAAAACATTTTCACGCCGTATTTGTGCCCAAACTACTAAATCTCCAGGGAATTGGTTCACAGTTAGAAACTAAGATTGGCAGGCCAGTATTTTCAATGCCAGATTCATCTCTCCTACAGCACTGAGGATGAACAAGTTACATCACTTCAGGTGGCTCTCATGGTGGACCAGGCTGAGTTTTGCAGTTATGGTTTCATGGCAAATGCTTTCTGTGAATAAAACTCAGAGAGGTATTTAGGGGCAGAAATTCTTAAACTAACAAGCTGGTGAGAGACTTTCACAGATTTGCAATGCTGGGCTCCTGCTGGGAGATAATGAAGAAGTGGGAGCCAAAACTGGTTAGAAATGAGGCTGTGATGGCTTAAAAGAGCTAAGAGGCCATGACATAATGTGAGAACATTTGGACAGCAACTGGTCCTCACAATTTCACATGCTTAACACAGTTGTGGTGTGGTGCAGTGAAATTGCAAGACCCCACAGCAATAAATGAATGGCACTAAGAATAGCACCCTTTTTGAGGAGGTTTTTTTTAATCTCAGTCACATTAAAAGACACCAGTCACATTGTCTCCTCTCACTTGTGTGTGAGCCAGGCTCTGTCATGAATGGGACTAACGTCCTAACTGGAACTAGCAACTCTCAGCAGTACAAATAATGCAGTTTCTCTTATTCTGACAGCAGAATGTCTCATGATACCCTGGAGTTACTGTTCTGTGGAGTATTCTGGAAATATTCTTCCATTTGAGATGCCCTGGCCTCTTCTGGATTGTGTCACCTTCTCTGTGCTGTGGTCCTGCATCCCACCACAGTGAGCCCAGGTGGCTGAGAGCCCTTCTTGCTCCCCTTTTTGCACAACAGAACTGATCTGGTTGAGCTTAACTGCAGATGGGACGGTGGTGGGGTGGACTAGGTCTTCCCTGTTTTATAATGCCCAGTTCTGGTGCAAACTGAGAATATGGTAATGAATTTAATAAAACTTCAACAGATTTTTTTTTGTTGTTTTGAGAAAAAAGGCTCTTTTCAGACCCAGATGTTCCCTTTTGTGCAGCCTGTCCCTTTCCTAAGCTCAGTGAGAGGGGCAGTGCAGTGGTTGCTTTGTGTTCTCTGTTTTGACATGGATCTGCAGAGAAGTTTTTGGTGGTACCTCTGCTTTCAGGTCTGATGTGGTCACTCGCTGTGTACCTTTGCTGTGATGCAATGCCACGTCGCTTTCCAAAAAAAAATAAAAAATAAAAACTCTTCTATTTTGTAAGGGCAGGAAGTGTTGATTTGAGCAGAAATAATAGATAATTAAGCACCCACGGATTGCGTATCAGTATTTTGATGCCTTCCAGAACACAAATTTTCAGAACTGCGGCAATACAGGCAATCTTCTTCCTCTGCAATTTATGCCAAACCATACTCCTTGCCTTAAAACTTAGAAACACACATTCATTCATATGCAAAGAGGAAAATAACGTAAAATCCATTAAACCCTTTTTAATCTTCCTCCAGAAGAAATTAGCTGTTGCTGTAGCAGCGTGGATCTTTGCTGCATTTAACAAATTCTAGGGCTGATTACTCACCACAGACTGTCCTCACCAGCTGTTTTGTGTGGTGCTGAGCTACCCCAGTTTACCTTCAAATGAGTTCATTTTCAAGCAGAATCCAGTCTGTCTCATGTAGATTTAAATTAAACACTGTGTTGCTGCAGTTGTAGGTGCTTGTGCAGAAAGGAAGGCATTTCTTAAGACCTCCAGTGTTTTGCTTGTAGGCAGTTCCTTTTCTCTTCCTGACCCAAGCTAAAGTGTGGAGCCAAGCTAATTTCCTGCTGGGTCCCATTCCTGCCCCAGGACTCTTTCAGACCAAGCTGTACTATGCTGCAGTTTCTGGAATCCTTAAGATGACCTAATCCCTGGGGCTATTCTTCAGAAAAAGACCAAAGTATGCAATAGATTTTGCATCTTCTTTTCCAAGGATTTTCTGTTACATGATTGATATTGGTGAGATATTCTCATCTCCCCTTTTAGAAAGCATTTTTTTGGGAATTCGTGACTCCTGATAAAAGTGCCAGAGGAGATCTCAGCCTGTGTAGACACACGTGTAAGTTCTAGAAGGTTAGGCAGGCCTGTGAGGTGGAGTCCTTAGAACTGAAGTGACACCTCTCCTGGCCATCAGGCCCTGGTACCTCTGTGCTGCACCAGCACATGTGGTACACACATCACTGGAGCAGAGATTTCACTTAGGAGCAGAATAAAAATCCATGTGCAGAACACATTGTTATTGAACCTATTGCTATCATTTTTAACAGGAAGTGTGCTGCTGGGGAGAGGGAGAGGGGCAGGAAGGGACTGAAACTTCCTCTGCTCAGTAGATGGTAACCTCTGCTGTCCAGGCTCTCAGAGGCTGCCCCAGCCCTTTCCATTGCCTGGAGTCTGTGGGAGCTGTGGCTCAGACCTGTGCTGGTCAGTGATGCCATTCCTTCCTCTGCCCTCTCCTCTCCTGTACTGCCTCTGCTCAGCTTAGCTGTGCTGTTGGCCCATGTTCTGCAACTTGTGAAATACCCATAAAGCTGTTTATTTCCTCTCTTCCTTCTCCTGCAGGCTGCCATAGAACAAAACTCGACAGCAGTTAGGTTACTGTTGTGCTGACTGGTGTGTTCTCCCATATGTGTCTGTCTCTCTCCCCAGTGTCCCACACATCATTTAAAATTGCATCCTTTACAGTAGCTCTGGGGCAAAGATCATCCTACAGCATCTGCTGCAGTGACTTTCTCCCTAGGACTGCAAGCCTGGCCACGGCAGAGCTGCCAGTGGTGTGACAGTGACAGTGGGACACTGCTTCTGGAGACAGCGAGGCTGTTACTGGCTGTGTGGTGGACAGGTGGATAAAGGGGGGTTTCTGCTGTTGATTAACACCTGCCTTTCCTTTTCTAAAAACAAATATGCTATGAGAAGTGTTTGAGAAGAATCAGCATGATCAAAGTACGTCTTCTGTGAAGGCTTGTTAGGAACATCTTTGCAGCTAAACGCATTATTGACTCCATTTTGGTAGTACTTGAACATGATGAGATACCTTCTCTTTTTACCCTTTTTTACTTGGACTTTTTTGCTCTGCTTCTCCCTCCGTGCCCTCAGTTTTACCCTGCTTGCAGGTCAGCATGTTGCAAAAATATGTTGCAATATATTTATCCTAAATGTGAGCATGTTGCATTCCAGTGTACTTCTGTAGGTGTGGAATATGTGTGTACACATAGGCATGTGTATCAATGCATACCTCAGTGTATGCAGGCCACAATGCAATGTAAAGTGTCAGGGTAAATTAATTTGATGTTGGATTAAAATGTTTTTACCACTTAAACGTATTGGTAGAAGTGAATTCAGGTCTTGTCTGCAGTCCTTATTCTCAACTGACAGATGTGCAAGTTGGTGTTAGTTTTCTCAAGTGTTTTTGAGAGGTTAAACCAAGCCACAGTTACAGATCTGTTGTTGAATAAATCAGCTCAGAATCACCAGTGGATTTCAGTGCACTTTTGGTCTTTGTTTAAACAGAAATGCATTTTTTTTAATGTTAAATTTCTAAATGGAAATTGAAGTGTCTTTTACAGTATAATATATATATTCATGTGTGGTTTGTTTGTTTGTTTTTTTCCTTTCTTTCTGATATTTATTCCACTTCCTCCCTCTGTTCCTAAAGGAAGAAATGCCCCTGGAAAGCCAGTGAGAGAGGTTAGTGAGATGCAGGCTCACTGCCATGGCTTCTGTTTGTCACAGCTTGCTTTCTGTGCCCAGCATGTGTGTGACACAGCACGGGGTTGCTTGGGTTTGGTGAAGGGTGGGGTGGTTTTATTTTGCTTTATTTTGTTTGGTTTTGCTGAGTGCATTCCCCATGTGTGCTGTAACAGTGGTGTACCTCTCAACTTTCAGTGGAGACAATGTCAGCTCAGGGATCTGCATTTTATTACACACTCCCAGAGGTGGAAAATTGGGAATGGGGGGGTGAAAATAATACATTGAAATTAAGCCTCTGAATGATAAATGTTGTCAGTAAATATGCTGCAGTCATTGACTTATGCTCTGTTGCTCTTGTGTGTGAGCACAACAGGGAGACTGAGGTCTCTTGCTGTTCTGCTTACAAACTCACAGCTATATTTACATGCATGTGCCAGTATACCAACCATCATCTCCCGTGATTAAATAGTTTTTTAATAATTCCTTAGAAATACGAGAGTTGAGAGGTATAAGAGATTCAGGTGTTTTAATTTCCTGATGTACTATTGCAGAATGAAGAATGCTACTAACATTCACCAGCTCCACAGTGTTGTATTCAGCAATGCAAATGGGCCATGGTTTTCACTGTGCACTTCAGACATGGTTGGTTTGATGCAAAATAGGTTTTGGAATTTGTGTGTCGCTGCTCATTAATGGAGGAAAGCATTTTGCACTGTGTTGTCACAGCTCCTTTGAAAGCATTTCCAGAGAGCCTTGATTTTTCCTCTGTGAAGCTGCTCTTCACTCGCCAGCCAGATACAGCGTTTGAAAGATGAATTTCTGGTGAAAATTATTATTAAAGATAAAATATTCAGAGACTGCCTGAGTGCAGTTGCAGTAGCTGTGAAATGACCTTTTCTGCACAGAAGACGTTCGGTGTGGATGAGGCAGGAATTGAAGGGTAACCTGGTTTGCAAACTTCTGCTGGTACAGAGGGAGGGCTCATGGAAACAGAGGGTACTGGGGTTCTTAGCAGAGCTGCTGTGGACCCCCAGTCACTGACAGGGTACCCTGGGAAAGCCAGGATTTGTCCTGGTGTGGTGCATTGAAATACAGAGGTTCTCTGCTTTGGCTGTGGGCTGGGGCAGGTTCAGCTATTTCAACATATAAGATTTTTGGTGCAGATTAAGTCTGTCCATGAATGGCAGGTCCTCTCATATGGATCAAAAAGGCACCAGCAGACTGTACCATAGGCAATACTTCACATTCAGCCCTGTTTTTTCTCAGCTCATATACTCTGAGAACTGTTCTCCCATTTAGCAAAACAGGTCATTGATTTCCACTATCTTCATTCATATTTATGCATATTACTCAAAAAAAGCTTCTTCTGCAGAGGGCATACTCGATACAAGTAATTAACAAAAAAAAAAAAAAAAAAAAATTAAAATCTACCTGGCCTGATTCCAGCAGGTATTTTTTTAGGTTTTAACACCTAAAACTTGACTTCAGTGAACTACTCTCTGCTCTCTGGCTGAGTTTGTGCTCACTAATGGTTCCAGAGGGACCCTGGTAAGTTGGAGAGCTGAATATAAAATGCAATTGTCCACCTGCTTATGAAGGATGTGAGCTAAGGTATAGAACAGTTTCTGCTATAGGTGTGAGCCTGTATGTGCAAAGGCAGATCCTGTGGTTTAAAACCCACCTGGCCAGGTTTTGATTCCATTACTCACTTTTGGTATTGTCTTTGTGTGTAATCCCATGGATTTTGTGGCATTACTCAATATGAATAAGGGTATCAAAACCCAAGTCACCAACAGGAAGAATTTTTCTTTTGTCAGGAAAGGGTTAGAAATCTCTTCTGCTAGAAAAGCCTCTGCATTGTGCTGGGATTTCTCAATTTACTTTCCATCCATTCTTTCAAGTCTGAATGCTGCACATTTATTTCTCTGACAAGCTGTATTATAAGATTGGTATTCTGTTACTGTGCCCACACCCATGGGCCTTGATTCCATTAGAGTCTCTAAAGTAGATTCAGCAGATGTGAAACACATCGTTCTCTGTGTGACCAGAAGTGAGGTAGTTAGTGTCTGCAGAAATAGGTGTCTTCTGCTCTCCAAGCAAATGGCAGCTGTGCATTTTATAAGTTGAAGTTAATACTGTCCATGTCCATTTTAAGCTTTATTGCTGCGTTTCAAAGTGTCTGCTAGGTTTTTTTCTTTCACAGCAGCATTTTTCAACCTTTCAGTGCCTCAAGCATGGATAAGACTTTCTCAGCTTTAATGTTAAAAAAAGAAAAATGGAATTAATGCCTTCTTTGATAGCATTACTTTAGAAATATGAATAATAATGGAAAGTTCTGATTTTTATTTTTCTAAGTGCTTTTAGGACAGTATTTCTCCCATTTGCTTCTTAATTAAAAATGTCAATGTCCCACATTTCAGTACTAGAGAGGGCAATTGAGCAGCATTCAGTGGCAGCAGCAGAGCCCTATGGAAGCAGTGAACTTGAGAACTGATTTAGGTTCATACACAGAAGAGGGTGTACTCATTGCACATACAGTACCAGGAAATCATCAGGTCTTTTGTTCTCAGCTCTTTGCAGTCTCAGTTGACCAGGCTGTTACTCCCATGTCCAAGAGAGGCAGAAACCCTGCTGACAGTGCAGTGACACCCAGCTGAGGCTCTGCCAGCTGTGTGGCTGGAGCACCTGCTCCTCTGGCCTGTCCTGCCATCCCTGGGCTGTCCTGGAGAGCGTGGTCCCCCTGCTGCTGCATTTACAGTCCAGCTGCCAACACAAACTGCAGCCTGCAGTGCTTTGTGGTCACGCTCTGAGCTCTGAGCTCAGAAGCTTCAGAGAAGACACAAGTGTTCAGTTCTTCTGCAGAGGAAATTAAGACCTGTGCAGGAGAGGGAGTGTGGATGTTGTGGGGGAGAGGGAACTGTATCTCCTTAATCACTGCAGCACACATCTGTGCAGCTTTGAGGAGGGAGGTCAGATTTGAAATGGTTATTTCAAAAAATAGTATATCAATTAACAGAGAAAGGAAAAAAGGTATTATTGCACATTTCTGTAATTTTTAATTATTAAAAAGTACCTAGGGATTCGTGGATCCATAAGGACTTGTAATTGCCTGAACAATGTAAGTTTATACCTACTGTGCCATATGTCTGAAAGGTTTTTTTTGTGTTTTTGGTTGAAGATACGCTTTCTAAACCTAGCCCTTTTTGACAGAACAAAATAGTAATAATTTCTGAGGATGCAGTTTTGCAGTCTGGGTTGTTCTAAGCCTACAAAAGGGTGATCAGTCTTCTTGGGAAGGAGCAGTATTGAAATGCTGAAGGGCCCTGGTGTTTCCCAGAAACAAAAGACCACAACAAATCTGAATGCAAGCCCACGACCCCATGGGCAGTGTCTCACAGCTGGCTACCCAGTCACAGCATTGCTCTGGTTATACCAGAGGGGTGTTTTCCCAGAAACTCATGGAGTTTCAGTCAGAGTTTCAGGTGAGTAGAGCAGCTCAGTGCTTCTGCTTGCACAAGCATCTCCCATATGTTCTTGATTTCATGTGGCTTCAGCAGATTTTCACGTGTGATGGTGTGAGTTGCTGGATTGATCTCAGTCTGCATGATGCCAGTGACAGAGATTATCCCTTACAGCTAAAATAAATGTGGTAGGATACATTAACTTTAAAATAAACTATGTTTTGACCAAAACTTGGCAGGAATCTTTCATATGCAGTTACTTGTCATGCTGATGAGGAAATTACAAGGTTTTGCTTCAGATGAATAGGATGGCTATACATTTATGATGTATGGATGAAATTGGTGATTGATGCATCTGTTTCTTTGCACATTAATGTAGTTAGCAAACTGTAACCAGATACCAGAACCAAGTATTTTTTTTCATATTGCTATCTCCCAAGCTGTATCACAGCTCACTTTGGGTAGCCTCTTGAATAGTTCTTGTTTAGATCCAGCCTAGTTCTGTATCATCAATACTAAATTTTAAAAAAAAAGTAAAATAAAAAAATAACTACCAAAACTCTACCAACTTTTTTTTAAAAAAAATAGTATTTGAATGTAGAGGGTAGTAGTAGTTCCCCAGAATAAAAAAGCTCCTGAGTTTGTTCAGCCTGGAGAAGAGGAGGCTTGGGGGAGACCTTCCAGTACCTTAAGGGCGTTTATAAAAGGGAGGGAGAGGGACTTTTATTGGGCAGATGACAAGGGGCAGTGATTTAAACTGAAAAAGAGCAGGTTTAGACCAGGTGTTAGAAAGCAGTTAACTGAGGGTGGTGAGCCACTGGCACAGCTTGCCCAGAGTTGTGGAGCCCCAGCCCTGTAGGCATTTGAGGCCAGGTTGGATGGGGTCCTGAGCACACAGGTCTAGTGAGTGGCTTGCCTGTCCATGGCAGAGAGGTTAGAAACCAATGGTTCCTAAGATCCCTTCCAACTCAAACTGTTCTGTGGTTCTCTGAATAGTTCTAAGGTAAATTCTATAAAAGCTGCTGAACTAAGATCACTCCAAGCTCTTACTGTAGAGATGTCAGCAGTGCATGACTACCATGATACACAAGCGTTGGGAAGAGGATGATGAGTCTGATTTTCCCCACAGGGAAGTTTCATTCCTGTTGCAGTTGTGTCAGGAGGGAAAGGCACTGTGTAGGTATGCAGTGGTCAGTCAGGACTGTATGAAAGGTGTATCCTGGATGCCCTGGTCATGGCCTTCCCTCATTTGGGTGCTCCTTCCTCAAGGACTGTGGTGAGGACTCAGCATCCAGAAGAAGAAGAATTTCTGAGAACCAGAGTTGTGGGCAGATGGCATTGAACTTCCTGTGTTTTTCCAGACAAATACTCTATCATAAGTGCTCCCAGAGAGTAAATCAAGCCCACTCAGGCCAGGGTGACATACAGTTTTATTGAGTAATACTTCACTTCTTATAAATGTTCAGTTGCTGGCACTCTGCACTGGGGAGACTTCTTGAGTTGGAGGTCACATGCACTTTTTTGCATCTAAATAAATCTTTCTTCAGCAACTATTTTCTAACTCCTTTTTTAACTCACTTATGTGTTTGGCCTCAACATCAGCCTGTGGTGATGAGTTCAGTAATACAATTATGTGCTATGTGGAGTATAATTTCCTTCTGCCTGCTTTAAGACCTTCTGTCTGCTCATTCCTCCTTGTCCTTGTAAGAAGTCTTGAACACTCAGTCCTTGGTTTGAATGTTCATCTTGTAGGGTGCCTAGATCTCAGTCATGTTCCTTCAGTCATATTTTTTCATGAGGGAGACTCCGGATAAGGTTCAGCTGTTTAAACCATGCTGTGTCTGTCATTTGAGGTGCCAGAGGGTATTTGAGACAGTCATGAAAGTGAAAATCTCACACAGGACTTGAGAGAGACACTTTCCTGAACAGCAGTGGGAGACCAGACAAGGCATGCCAGGGGCTAAAATGGCAATTTTTGGCAATTCAGTCTGCCCATCCTTGAGTTTATTTGGTTTCTAATTGTGATGAAGCTGTTTCTTACCACCCATCACCATTTGCTGCACTGATGACATGAGTGTGAGAAGTTGCAGGTTTCAGTTCCAGAATTGTACTTTGTGTTTATTCATCACTTTTGTGTAGGAGGTTGTGGTTATATCATCTTAGGACTTCAGAGTGGTTATGGGTGAGGGGAAATGCACAAGTGAACCCCTGCATAGTAGTTAGCTGGTAATTGTGGCATCTTTGTGCTGGACTGCTGTCCAAAAAGGAAAGCATATTTTAAAATTGATAGACTGAACTGAGCTACTTAGTTTGGTCATCATTATATCTATCTTTGCAGGTATCCTGCTTGCTTTAATGGTTTAGTTAATTACTGTTGATCTGTTTGTTTCTCTTTTTCTCCTCCATAGAACATTGTATGTATGCTCAAACACTTGCAGCATCAGTCAGAAACTGCAGTGATATCAATGGGCTTGTTGCTTTTGGTGACATTGATAATGATGAAGCTTCATCACCATGGGGGGTGATGGCTGATTGGCAGGGTGGTTTGCCATAGCCATTCAAGCCAGTATTTCTGTTAAAGTGTTGTACAAACCTGGCAGCTTTTGCTAATGACAACCTGTTGGACTCATCCAGGAGATGTTTGGAAGTCTCCTGTGGGGACGGCAGCGAGCGGCTCGTGGAGAGTGACGGATCTGGGAAGTTTCCCCACCCACGTGCTGCCACATCCTCTTGGTTTAATTTCCTCTTTGACTTTCTTTTTCAGGCCACAATGTAGGGAGCCTTTTCCACATGGCAGATGACCTGGGAAGAGCGATGGAAACCTTAGTGACCGTGATGACCGACGACAAGGTGTTAGAATAGCAAGATGTGTTTTACAACTTCAGGCGTTCCGCATGGTTTTTATAATATTCATACTACAAAGAGGATTAGACTGTAAGAGTTTACAAGAAAACAAATCTATATTTTTGTGAAGGGTAGTGGTACTATACTGTAGATTTCAGTAGTTTCCTAAGTCTGTTACTGTTTTGTTAACAATGGCAGGTTTTACACGTCTATGCAATTGTACAAAAATTATAAGAGAACTACATGTAAAATCTTGATAGCTAAATAACTTGCCATTTCTTTATATGGAACGCATTTCGGGTTGTTTAAAAAAAATTTATAACAGTTATAATGAAAGATTGTAAACTAAAGTGTGCTTTATAAAAATAATTGTTTATAGAAACCCCCTTAAAAAAATCACAAAAAAATATACTGAGGCAGTGCATTTGTTTAATTTCATTTCAGTTCTGTAACAGCATCAGAGAGATTCATGTTCTGTGTTCTTTTCCTTGCCTATCAAAAATGACAAAAAGAAAAAAAAAGGTATTTCCTGCAGTGACACCAGAATAGCCACCTTACATTTCTCATTGGTTTAGTCTGACTAGGGCTGGCTTAGAAAAATAACCAAAAAACCTGAACTTCCAATGAAGGTAGTTGCATTTTATCTTTCCAATAAAATTAAGAATTACATGACTTACTGTCCTGGTTTTGGACAGCAACTAGCAATTACACAGCTAGTTTGCAATAATTAAATGAAAGAGCACATTACATGACAGAGCCTGCAAAAAAAAAAAAAAAAAAAAACAATTAAAAAAGGGAAAACTCAGAAGAAAGAATGAAAGAAGTTAATGACCATCCTGTGTGCCAGTGTTTCCTCTGCTGACTAAATTCCTGGATAGTTTTAGTAAAGGAACATAGACATTGCCTTACTGGTTTGGAGCTGGGGCTCGATGGCTCAGCAGGGCTGGGGACAGCTCTCCCCCATTGTCACCTTTGCTGGAGAGGAGAGAAGAGAGGGAGACGCTGTCCCCAGCCCCTGTGGCTCCTGACCTGAAGCACAAGCAGGGTACCCAGAGAGCTGTGTCCAGCTCCCAGTGCTGGTAATGAGCACGGAGCTCCTCCACCCTCTGGAAGAGGAGCCCAGAGCTTTCCACTGTCCCCGTCTCATCCTGCTGCAGCAGCCGGTCCCAAGGAGCTGTGGTGCTGCAAGCCACCTTTGGGAAAGGCTGTGGAAGAGTTACTGCTGTTCTTGCCTGGAATGGTGATCAGGTGAAGGTAGTCACACTGCTCCATGAATATTTATCACCAAAACAAAGGCCCTAATCCTTTCTCCTTCCTCATTTCTCTGTACAAGTAACCCCTGCACAATTAACAGTAACTGAGAAAGAGAGGAGCTGATAGAGAAACAGATTAGCCAGCTTGACTGCAGCTCTACGAGAGAGAGGTTTGGGTATGAGGTGCTGTCAGCAAAAGCTTTACCACTTCGTTTTCTTAACCAGCTTTTTATTTTACCATAAAATACATAGAAACACAACCATCTGACTTTATATTGCAAGAGTAAAAAAATCTGTTACCTCTTCTTGTATGAAGTGTAATTAAACTTGGGAAAGATTTTATTTTGAATGCTAGTTAACATTGAACATGGCTAGTCATGCTATTTCTACCTCACTTTGGTTTTGTGGTGTTCCTGACAATTACATATGACAATGTTACATCATCACCACGTGTCCATTGTGTGACCAGGTCTCATTGTTTAAGTAATAACAACAACGTTAATCATTTACAAAAAAAAAGTACAATCCCCCCCAAACCTCTGCTTTCCTAATAAAGAGCTTTTTAACACTTGATTACAATAGGAACCCTCACTATTTCTCATGGCCTTTCTTATCAGAAGGATTAAATTGTGATTTGAGAAAGAGATGGGTTTCTTCTTCCCCCCACCCCTTATACTTTAAACCTTCTCTTCAGAAAAATTATGGAGTAAAAACAGATTGCACGATTGTTTTCATCAGGGTTTTGTTTTGTTTGTTTTACTTTCTAGATCTTAGTTTTGGAGTGAGTCTGTCAAAAAGTATTTAAAAAGTTGAAAGCTTTATTGCTGCTTTTTTAAGCATAATTTGGGAATTATTTCATATTCCTTATAATGACAAAGTATTAAACTGTAAAACATAATCAGTGTAGTTGAATACATAAATACCATATGGCATGTTATTTCATCGTTACTCAGTACTGGTTTATTACTTGGATATCATAATATATTGTGTTTTAACACCAACACTGTAACATTTACTAATTATTTTTCTAAACTTCTGTTTTACTGCATTTTTTCACAACATACCAAATTTCACCAAATATATGCCTTACTATTGTATTATATACTGCTTTACTGTGTATATCAATAAAGCACGCAATTATGTTATATAAAAGGTGCAGGAGTTTTTGTGGAGGTTCAGCACTCACCCAGCAATCCTTGCCATGCTGCACTGGCCAAACCCCTGCTGGCATCACCTCAGTGCTCAGCTCTCCCTGCTTTGGGGTTTCTCCCCTGCTGAAGTCGTGAACCTCCTGTGCTCCCCAAGCTTTTGGGGGCTTGGCCAGCCCCACGCTCCCTGCCTCATCCCTGACAGGGCCTTCAGACCAGATTGATTCAGTCCAACACTTGATAGTCTCCTTGCCACCAGGCATAATGCTAGGAAAACCCTCTTTGGGGCTTAGGGAAGTGTGTGTTCCCATCAGAGAGGGTGATCACACATCTCCCTTATCCAGGAAATGTGAAGGCTTTGATACCCAGACTCCACTCAGCTGTGTCACGATGCTGCCTTTGAGCTTTTGGCGGTAGAAATAATGTGATGAAAAATAACAAAACACAAAGACAGAAACAGTATATGTTTGCCTATGATTTTGATAATACAGTGAAGGAGAAGGTGGGAATTTCCTCATTTTATTCACTTGAGGAAATAAATACACATCCCACATCTGGTCTCCCAGACTCGAGTTCCTCTGGATTCACTCCTACATAAGTCAATCAGCGTGTGCTTTGCTGCACTGAAGTCTTCCCCGAAGACTTTACAATCCACAAAGCACAGCAGCCCCCCATGATGACTCTGTTGAATTCAATTAAGCAAGAGGGAGGATAGCTCCACTCATTTCCCCTGCACCTGTAACCCAATGATTTAGGACTCCTAACATCCCATCAGCAAAACCTGGTGTTCCTGACTGGCTCTTAGGAATGTTTCCCTTAAGTGTGTTCAGCAAAATATCCTCCTTATTTTAAGGACTGGTCAGTGTGTTTCCTTTGCTCTCTGGGCAGAGGGGAAAATTAGTTCTCTTTTTGTGTGCCTTGTTAATGTGCTGCCATTTACTCCTTGACTAGATAGATAGATAGATAGATAGGAAGGATACAAATCCTGAGGCCCTGCTGGCCAGGTCAGCAACCCTTTGGGGGTTGGAGGTTCCCTTCTCAACGAGGCCATTGTCTCCTGTGCTCCCCAGTGCCCAGCACGGTATCAGACACAGCTCAGTTCATGCTGCCCATCTGCTGCACAGCCCCTGGTGGCCAGTGAGTGCTGCCCAGCCCAGCCCTGGCCTTGCTGCTGCACTTTGGGAGCCCAGCACACCCTGCCAGCCCCATGGGGCTGTGTGGGCAGCTCTGCTCTGCTGCAGTCATGGGGCAGGAGAAACCAGGGAGGGGGACAGCTAAGCTGAGTGGAAAAAAAAAAAAAAAAAAAAAAAAAAAAAAAAAAAGAAGAGGGAAAGCAATGGTGCAGGATGCATAAAAGGTCTGCAGCTACCAGTGTGTGTGATGCACTCCATGGTGGTGCCTGCAGCAGGGCATCCCTGGCCTTGCTGGGCTGGGTACACGTAGCAGGCGCAGTGCTTGGAGTGCTGCATGAAGCACAAATGCTTCCAAGCCCACCCACAAATGCTTCCAAGCCCACCCACATGCCACCAGCAATATCTGCCTGCTCTCCTTGCCCAGTGGCAGCTCCCAAGCCACTGCCATGCTGCACACAGTCACTTTTGCACCAGGGTGCCCTGCACTGAAGGACAGCTACCAGCTTTGGGGGCTGGAGTTGTGACACCCTGCGTGGACGGGATCCTCCCCGCCCTGCCAAGGTGCAGGAGCAGCAGGACCCAGGCAGCATGGACACTTCACTGGCTGGGACCCATCTTGGCTGCCTCTGGGCACATGTGTGCAGTCAGGCTGAAAAACAATAAATCTTCCTCTTCTTGACTCAGGCTCACCGGGAATTTGTTTCGGCTCTGAGCAAGCGTATCAACTTGCTAGAAAGTGCCATAAATCTGTGCAAGAAAAACGGGCCTGCTGAGACCAAGCAAGGTGTAACATTTCCATCCATGAACCCCATAAGCTGATAACGCTGCTCACCAGCTGAGGAATACGACTGCAGCAAATGAGTAGTAGCTCATACTGCCAAAAACTTGGTACAAAATCGCCTGTGGTTAAGGGAGGGATGAGAGTTATGGAAATCTTGGAGCTATAGGAGTGAACTGTGGGACTTCACAAATGTGAAGTGCTCTTTCAGCCTATTGCCTAAACCCCTACTGCTTGCCAGCCCAAGGCTCTTATTAGTCATCTTGGCAATTGTTTACCAGATGCAGAGACTTCTTTTTGTTGTTATTATCTGAGCATTACAATGGATATGCCATTTATTTAATAGCTGGCACATGCTTGTAAAAAGCTGAGTCCAAGCAAGTTGTCCCTATTTGCTGACATAAGCAATCCACTGCTTGTAAGGATTTTTTCTTTCACTTCCCCCACCCCTCTATGCACACATGCACAGATACAGGGAAAGGAAAAACAACAGAACAGTATTTTATTGTCTTTCTTGCTGAACAGAAGAGGTTTCTTCTCAAAAAAATCCTCTCCAGGAATAACATCATCTTCACAGCAACCTGTTGGCATGTCTAAATTTGCAGCAAGCATTAGAAAAGAAAGAGATAATTATATACATATATTTCTATAACAATAAATTATGTTAATTCACTCATCATTCCTATATTTGTTTCCTTCACACGTGCTCTACTTGATGACCCAAACCAACCACACAGAGTGCCATTTTGGAGGTATAATCTCTTTCAGACCATTAACAACAATACTGTATGAGAATCTTTAAGAACACATTGTTATATAAAGTCAAGGACAAGTTCAGTAAAACCATCAGTTAGACCTCCCTGAAGCTGTAGGAGATGGTTTGGTCCCTGGCACATGTGATCTTCTTGCTTCATGCCTGTGTGCCATGAGGCATCTCCACATGTCCCAGCTGCTGCAGCTCACTGCCACGGCTCTGCTGTGTGCAAGGGAGAGAGCCACGTCCCTGCTCACCCCCAGAGCTGTGCTTTCACCTCAGCAAGGCAAAAGCTCCTTCTCTTCAGACATGGAGACAGCCAGCAAACAGCTGAGCTGTGAGCAGCATGGTCCAGCAGCCAGGGACCACACCTGGACACACACCAGCTCAGGCCTTGCATGCTCAGTCAGGGGACAGAAGAGGCAGAGTGGGAGCCCAAGGTGTTTGGAGGAGCAGAAGTCAGGTGTTCTGAATATAGGGAGATTTACACAAAGGTGTTTTCATACACTGGTGGTGTGACACAGTGTCAGGCTAGAGCTATTTCAGACCAGGTACCATGTCCCAAAACAGGACTAAAACAGTTGAATTAAAACTGTTCAAACTCCTTGCTGTTCAGTTTGCACTAAAGATGCCCTTCCTGATGGCCTCGGGTGGGCTAGTACATCATCAAAAGTATCATCATGAGAGGATTTTTGCTTCTGCATCAGGGTAATTTTTAGTTGTGCCTCATTCACCAGACAAATGGGTTTATTCTAACACTGATGTAGGAGATGCTTCTTTTCTCACAGAAGATTAATGGCAGTTGCCAATATAATTCCCTGCTGCATCCCACAGTGAATGTTTAGATAAAGGCTGCAGCCAGCTGCAGATGATAAGACATGAAACTACTGGGGTTTTTCCTACCAACCACAAATATGTGATTAGAAATTAGAAAATATTAGGTATGCTAGAATAAATGCTGGATACATGAATACATAGCAGTATGTACACAGACAGACAGAGGCACGAAACACAAGACTTCCTTTTATGTGTGTGAGTACATTCATGAACACACACACATCCCCAGACATGCTCACACAAGCCCTTTGCTCTGCTGAGCCTGTGAACCATTCAATTAAAAAAAACAAAAACCCAACCACCGGAATCAGTTGTGTCAAAATAGATACAGCTTGACAATGTGCATTAATTCAGCTTTATGTTAAATTATAACAGCCTGTGTTCTGCAGCAGCAGAGCAGTTTATTTTATGAAGCAGTTGCTGAAGTTCCTTCAGGAATTTTGATTCCTAAGGAAGTGGCTGTAAGCACATTGTCTTAATCTAAAGTCTGCTTTTGTTATTCTTCTGAAACACCTGGCAGAACTGGCATGGCCTTCCAGCCTTGGCAGAAGATGATAAAAGACATCAAGCCTATAACTTAGCTTCTTTCATCTTTTCTTTCTCCCCCCCCCTCTTTTTTTCTTAACCTCACTGATAAGCTCAAAGTCTTCCTTCAGCAAGGCCTTGCAGGCAGGCAAACACCTTTCAATGACTTACTGAGCATGTGGTTTTCTCTACATGTTTTTTTCGGCTTCCTCTTCTACACTAAGAATAATTATAAGTCAAAGCTGTACATGAAGGGAGAAGACCATTTGCATCTCTAGGTCTTTTAGCTGCAGGTAGTCACATGATGCCCCAGAGTTTTCCTATTTTCATACTGCAAGACTGCAGTACTGTGGGCTTTTATCAGATGCTGTGGACATGGTACATGGGGGTCTCTACCCCCCCTCACACACACTTTTTTCAGTGTATATGGATTCCTTAAAAAGTTCTCTAATCCTTAGGAGACTTCATGTATCCCAACAAAAATATGTTGACTTTTACTTTGCAATCACTCATTTTTTGCTTCTGATGCCCTGGCCTGGCTGCCCACAGTCCCCTGCAATGCAGGACAGCTGAAGGCAGCCCTGGCTGTACAATCAGCATCAGCTTCTCTCTCCCACCCAGGCTGCCTGTCCCTGTACCCAACCTCACTTCCATCCCCATCCCATACTGTCCCCATGGGCAGCAGAATGGAATGGTGCCCCAGGCCTCCCCTTAGCACCAGCCCCAGCTCACACCAGCTTCCACCCCTCACTGACAAGGATGTCCCCACCCCACTCTGGCACTGGCTCCTGCCAAAATCCCCCGTGACTGAAGCCACCCAGAGCTCCCATCACACGGCCAACACTGCAGGGCTGTGCTCACCACAGCCTCATTACCCCCTCTCCCCTCATGTTTTTAACAAACCCCACGAACATCTCAGCACAAACGTGATCCAGGGATCCCTTCCAGTGCAATTCATTTGCTGAACACTCC